CTGTTTTTCCACTGAGTCAGCACAAGTCCCAACTTGCTTAAGCCATTGATGGGGAGAAGTTACAGCATCTTTACTTTGTGAATGAGGATGAGCAGAAGCAGCTTGATTTCTAAGATAAGGGGTGGTGCTTTGGCCATTTCCTGTGTAGGTGACCACAGCTCTTGGGAGTTTATGTGTACTGAAGCCATGTCCTTTATAAAAGGCAGCATTTCATGCCACTCCTGCCCCACACCCACAGCTCTTGGACTTTCTCCTCCCACTCTTCTAGGATGCCCCCCCCCCCCGAGTCTTGACTCTTCGCTGATGTAAATGTTTCCTGTAGGACGGAGTACTCAACAGTTACTCTCAGCTCCTTAGCAGTTCTAAGTCACTGTGTTGACAGCTGCCCAGGGCAAAAAGAAGTTTCCCTGAGCAAGGTGGAGAGCAGCACTAATCTGTGAGTCTAAGTACTTAGAAGGCACCTTGACAACATGTCATGGGAGGCGTTTCTGATTTGACAAATGTTGGTGGTCTTGCACTGCCCTAGAAAAAGCCTCAAGCAAGTTTGCAAGGACCAGTTCTTTCAAAGAGCCCGCCTCATCCCCTTTCTATGTGGGGTACTGTAACAGAAGGTGCTGGTGTCTTGCCCAGAAAAGCTGGCATGAATAGCCTTGACACAGTCCTTTCCTCTGGACACATGGGCCAGCACTTTATCTTCCCCTCCCAAAGGCCCTTACATTTCTCATTAAGAAAGGGAAGAAAGAGCCTGAGCAAGTTAAAAAAAAGAAAAGAGAAAAAAAAAAAAAAAAAAAAAAAAAAAGCCCCCTTAAGAGGCCAGACAAGCCTCGCCCTGCAGACTGCAGATCACAACATTTCTGGTGTTTGTTTATTTCCCTGTGCTCTTGTCCTCCCAGCCCTAGTATGGGCTTAGCAGAAGACAACGACCTGGCTTGTTTCCTTGCTCGAGCAAGTCATTTTGAAGAGGGACTTGAGTGTCTTCGCAGAGAACAGGAAAGGCCCTATAGTTGATGAGAAAAACAGTACTGGAGTTTGGGAAAGTTAGCGGTCTCCCCCAACGACAGTCAAGGCTAGTAGTGTTCAAGCTTATGGCTGAGAACCTCACAGACCCTAGGTTCTCAGGGAGGAGGTTGAAACATGCTGAATCATGACGGTGAAGGAGACATGTAACAACACACTTTAGCATTGATTGATTACATACGAGTTACTAGCAAGATTGCTTGGAAAATAGTGTTATGGAGAAATGACTTGAAACATAGCTTGAAATTGGTTGTTTGCTAACAGGCTTTGTTTGGACCATTTAGAAAAATAAAAGAAATAGAGTTGTGTTTCTGATTTTGCCAGAATTTACAGTTGCTGAAGCTGTATCTTTTGAAAGCCTCTCCTTAGGGCTGGCTCCTTGATCATGAAACCCCCTTTTCCTTATGGCTTCCCTCAAAGAATGGCCCTGTTGCCAGTTGCCCAGAGAGCAAATCCTGCTTGCTTTAAGATGACTGAAACATCTGTTCAGTTGATAGAAATGGAGCTTTAATTTATTTTTAAAGATTTATTTATTTGATGTTTAAACTAGCCCTTCTTGATCCCTAATCAGGACTTCAATGAAAAGTTGTTCTAATTCTTTATTATTAGTTCATGTATTTGAGTGTTTTGCCTGCATGTATGTATGCATACCACATGTGTGTTTGGTACCTGAAGACAACTTTGGATCCCTTGTAGCCATCCATGGTTATCAATGGCTGTAAGCCACCATGTCGATGCAAGAACTGAACTCAGGTTCTATGCAAGAACAGCCACTCTTCTCCACCGCTGACTCATCTTTCTAGATCTCTTCAAAATCTTTAACAATGTTTTTTGATTAGTATGTGTGTTTGTGTGCTTGTGTGTGTGGACTCAGGTATTAAGGCTTGGTGGCAAACACCTTTGCCCACTGAGCTATCTCACTGGCTCAAATTCTTCAGATTCTTAATGGTTCCCTCAACAAGAAACTTTGCACAAGTGTTAGTGGGCTGGGCCAGTGGTGGTGCACACATCACTTGGCAGGCAGAGGCAGGCAGATGAACCTTTAAGATTTGTTATTACTTCTGCACGTGCGTGCGTGCATGCCTGTGTGTGTATGTGAGCGTGTGTGCCCGTGTGCATGCGTGTGTGCGCGCGTGTGCATGCATGTGCGTGTGCATGCATGTGTGCGCCTGTGCATGCATGCGTGTGTGTGTGGGCGTGTGTGTAATTGCATTCAGACGCTGCTGGAAGACCAGGGAGTTAAATTTCCCTGGAGCTGGAGTTACAGGCAGTTGTGAGACACTTGACATGGGTATTGAGAGTTGATTTCAGGTCTTCTGCAAGAACAGCAAGCTCTCTAACCACTGAGCCATCTCTTCGGATCCTTAAAAGGGCTTAAAATATTTATGTGTTTTTATTTTATGTGGAGGAGGATTTATTTTGTCTGCATGTATGTATGCATACTGAGTGATTGCCTAGTGTCCACTCTACATAAGAGAGTGTCAAGGTGGAAACAGATGCAGAGATCCCAGTCAGGCACTGGGCTGAGCTCTGGGAGACTTGCTGAAGAAAGTGAGGTTGGGGTAGTCAAGGTCTTGACAGGGAACCTACAGAGTTAGCCAACCTGAGCTTGTGGGAGCTCACTGACTCTGGACTGACAGCTAGAGAGCCTGCATGGGACCCACCTAGGACCTCTGAATGTGTTGTATAACATGGTCTGTTTGTGGAGCTCCTAGCAGTGGGATCAGGACCTGTCCCTGGTGCTTAAACTGTCTTTTGGGAACCCATTCCCCAAACTGGGTTGCCTTGCCCAATCTTGATGCAGGGGAGGAGCTTGGTCCTGCCTCAGCTTGATGCCTGCTCCTTTCTGAATGGAGATGAAGGAAGAGTGGATGGGAATGGGTAGAAGGGAAGTGGGGGGAGGATATGGGGGAACAGGAGGGAGGGGAAATGTAGGTATGTAAAATAAATGAAAAATTAATAAAAATTTAAAAAGCAAAAGACTGTCAAGTGTCAGATTCACTGGAACTGGTGTCACAGATAGTTGTGAGCTGCCATGTGGGTGCTGGGAACCAAACCCAGGTCCTATGAAAGAGCAGCCAGTACTCTTGACTGCTGAGCTATTTCTCCAACCCCCTAGCATAATGTCATTGCAGGCTATGATTGTCTCTGTGTTTCCTTTCACTAATAAAATGTAATGCCGACATTTAACAAGGATGCAGATTTATCTAAGCTCCTCAGAACTGTTGCACAGTGACAGGTGAACCACCCTGGAGATGGGGATTCTGGCCTGGCCTGGCCGCTGAGGCCAGGACTCATCTATGGAAGACTGAAGCCCCGAACCTTGTTTACTCTGATTCCTGAAGGCTGCTGCAGCCTGGGTGAACTCACTCTCATGCTTGAAGCAAAGATCTCTGATGATACCAAAGGCCCTGGATCTGTCCAAGGTTTCCATGAACAGCATCAGTTTCTACCCTCAATTAGCCAGTCTTTTCTAGCCTCAGTCTGCCCACCTGCGGAGCAGGGATAGTGAAGTCCCTACCAGATAGTGCAGTCCCTACCATGAAATGAAATGAGTGCCTGACTGGCACACAGTGAATGACATCTGTGTATAGTAAATAAAATGTCTAGAGGCTTTGGAGTAGAACCCCACTGTGATCTGGGGGAGTGTTCCCCAGGGGCTCCCAGGAAGGTGGGATCTTGTCCTTCAGTCTTTGGGAGAGCACCCCCAAAGGCAATTGTGAGACCTTGGGCTCTGCTTCCTGGCTAACTAATGCTGTGCACACAAGTGTGTGTTTCTTCAACCCTTTCCATCTGCCATCCCCACCAAAGGCAGAGCCACGGTGCTGCCCTATCTAGGACTGTAATCTCCAAATTGTATGTTAAATAAACTTTAACTTTTTTTTAAGTTAATTACCTCTAGTGCAGTAGTTCTCAATCTTCCCAATGCTGTGAAGTTCCTCATGTGGTGATCCCCAAACATAAAATTGTTGCTACTTCATAACTGTGATTTTCTTACTGTCATGAACAGTACTGTAAATACCTGATAAGCAGATGGTCTTAGGTGACCCCTGTGAAAGTGCTGTTTGGCCCCCAAAGGGGTCCTCACCCACAAGTTGAGAACTGCTCCTCTAGAGTTTTATTATAAGGTGAAACTTACTAGTACAACCCCTAAACCATGTGCTTATTCAAATGTCCTAAATTCTGGCTCTCACAGTCTCTAGCCATGGGCCATAAACAGGTTATTCTGTCTAAACATGATGATGACACTGGTACCCATCCATGGTGTAAGGACACACAGTAAAGGGAACATACATACATACATAGGGCAGGGAGCAAGGCAAGCACTCGACAAGGGATGGCTGAACCAGGAACCGAAATGGCAGAACTCTATGCCCATGCCCTGCCCTGCCCTGGCCCCCTCCTGTGAGTGATAACTCCCCAACAAGCATGACTCACCTGTCAAACTCCTCCACAATTTATTTGAAATCTTCTCAGTAGATATAATCTTGAATCCTTCATTACTTTTATTTCTCATTTATGGACTCTTTTAAAATTATATGTATTTATTTACTAGTTTTTTTAGTGGGCGTATGGGTGGGTGGGTGGGTGTCTATGTGGAGGTCAGAGGACATCTTCGTTGGTTCTGTTTCCACCATGTCAGGCCTAGGGATCAAACTGAGGACATCAGGCCTTGGTAACAAGTACCTTTACCAGCTGAGCCTTCTTGACAGCCATTCTTCTACAGACTTCTGAGGTGGTCTTTCCATTCCTTTCAAAAGCCATGCTAAGAATAGGCACAGGAATTATGGTGAGGGACAGCCATTGGGGGACACCTTTGCAAAGGTCCAAGCATGCTGAGCACACCCTTCCTCATTTGATTTTCATTAGGAAGTCATATCACAATTGGTGTAAAACCTTGAACATTAAATAAATCACTCTTATGACACACATAATTCATGGAGGCATACCAGGCTTCTTGTGAAGGTCAAAAACTAACGAAGTCAAATCTGGTATTTCATTTTACAAACACTTTTACGTTTAATACTGTGGAAAAGAAAACAACTTTAAAAAAGCAACATTGATTCTGTACAAATGTTAACACTGAGGAATACATTTTAAGATCTGTAAGGTCAGTGAAATAAGTCATCTTTTATTAAAATATAATATCACTGTCTCTTTCCACCCATATACATATATGTTCTCTCTTTAAATAAATATATTATGTATTTCATTTATATTTGTGTGTGTACACGTTCATGTACATGCTGGTGTGTGTGTGTGTGTGTGTGTGTGTGTATGTATGTGTGTGTGTGTATGGAGGTCAAAAGACAACATCAAGTATCACTCCTTACGTGCTCCCACCTTTTTTCTTTGAGACAGGGTTTCACTTGACCTGGAACTCACCTAGGCTGGCTGCCCTGTGAATGTCAGAAATCTACCTGTCTCCACTTCCCCAGCACTGAGATTAAAGTGAGTGCCACCACACCCAACTTTTTTGTTTAGTAGGCTCTGGGGATCAAATTGATACCATCCTAGTGCTTACAAGTCAAGGACTTTACCAACCCAGCTATTTCCCCTGGCCTCTGGGCTTTTGTTCTGTGCTGTTTGGGGGTCGTGGGATGGAATGCAGAGCAGTCCACAGGTAAAGCACACACTCAGCTGCTGAGCCACACTCCCAGCCTTGCCGTTGGTTTATTTATTTTTAAATTTATTTTGATTTATGTGTGGCTTTATGTGAGTATGCTTCATGTGTGCAGGTGCCCTCAGAGGCTGGAAGAGAGTATCAGGAGTTACAGGTGGTTGTGAGCCACCCGGTTTAGTTACTGGCAACTCAACTTAAGTCCCTTGCAAGGAGAGCAGTCACTCTTAACCCCTAAGACCCTAGTTATGCATTTACACTGAAAGCTGACTTGACAGCATTCACCTGGTGCTGTCAGGCCATGGACTTTTGACAAGTAGAGTAGGTGAGGGGAACAAATGCCAAAGCTTCAGGTGTAACCAGTGTGTGGCTTTGAATGGGGGCGGCCCCCATAGGCTCATTTGAGTGCCTGGTCCCTGGTTGGCAGAACTGTTGGGAAGGATCGGGAGGTGTGGTCTCATTGAAGGAGATGTGTCACTGGGAGCAGGCGCTGAGGTTTCCAAAGAATGGTGCCATTTCCCAGAGTACTCTCGGTCTCTTGCTTCCTTCTGTAATCATGGACTCTAACCCTCTGAAGCTGTAACCCTAACTAAATACTTCCTTTTATAGGTTGCCTTGCTCATGGTGTTTCATCACAGCAATAGCAAAGTAACTAAGGCAACCAGATCCCATGAAGCAGTATGTGCCTGGTCCTGACATGCCTCCACACAGCTGCCTCACATGGGGACTTCAGAGTCTTCTGAGGAGTCATCTGCAAACAAAAGTTCATCTGGTGATGGGCTCCCCAAGGGCAGTGTACTACAGTGAGACCAAGAGATCCCATTTTTGGTGAGTCTGTCCTCTGGCAAGACACCATCCTTTCCAGATGTGGCTGCAGCAAAAGGAGTGGAGGCCACATCTTCCCATTCTTCACTGACTCCATTCAAGATGTATCTTTCCTCATGGAGGTTGTTCTCATGAACTTCCGCCGTGACCACGCTGGTGGCTGCACTGGGAGTGCAAGAGGCAATGATGGAGTCAGGATCGATGTTCATGTCCAGCCCAGCCAGGGAGGGTCCGTCCACCAGGCCCTCACAGCTCTCTAGCAACTGGGTATTGATGTAGATGATGGATTCTTTGTCCTGTGCATCAGGCAAGCTCTCGGAGAGCTTTTCCAGCTGCAGTCTCAGTACCGAGAAGGTGGGTCGGTCCAAGGGATCGGCACTCCAGCAAGAGTACATGATGTCATACCTGATGACAGACAAGCGAGCGTTACCGAGTCTTTAATTTCATTCTATTTTAATCGGCATTTGCTCCACATTTTATGGAAATAAATGGGTTTGGGTGTGCGTGGGAGAAATGGTCTAATGGCTATTCAACTTTTTAAATGGTGTGCATGTGTGGGTGATATATGCACTTGCGCATCTACACATAGATGCTGGAGGGGCATCTGGTGTCCTGCTCTATCCCTCTTACTTTATTCCTTTGAGACAGGGTCTCTCACTGAACCAGGGGCTTGCTGTTTTGGCTAGAGTGGCTGGCCAGCAAACCCCAGGTATCCATGTCTCTGCCCCTCACAGCACTGAGGTTACAGGTGCACCACAGCCATACCAAGCTGGTGTTGGACATTGAATTCAGGTTGTCATGCTTGCACAACAAGTACTCTTACCTACTAAGCCATCTCCTCAGCCCCTTGTCCAAAAAAGTATTCTGTTTCTAAAGTAGAAGATATCTACTTTTGCAAATAAAAGGATTTAATGTGCTTTTCTTATAGAGGCTTTGCAATAAAACTAATCATCTGCTCTGTAAATGAAGTTTTATTAGAACACAGCTATGCCTAATTATGTACTGTTGTCTGTGACTGTTTAGTCTGCAGTTTGTGGAACTGTTTGGGAAGGACTAGGAGGTGTGGCCTTGATAGAGGAAGTGTCACTGGGGGTGGGCTTTGAAACTCAAAGTCCAAACAGTTTCTAGTCTCTCTCTGCCTCATGCTTATGGATGGTCGTGGACTCATCTCAAACTGTAAGCAAGTCCCCAATTAAATGCTTTCTTTTATAAGTTGCCTTTGTCATTGTGTCTCTTCATTGCACTAGAAAAGTAGCTAAGACATCTTCTAAACACGTTTGCTAATCTCTATCTATACCATTGAACTGAGTTGTGACCAAGAACACTGATTTAGTTGGACCACTGAAATAAGTCCCAGAACTGGAACGGCACATGAGAGGTAACCGAATGGTACATAGTGTGTCACTCCCTTCTGATCTTTCCCAACAGCTCTATCACTGCACTTTGGAAATTATAGCACATGCCCTGGGCTCACAGCTAGCAGGGGGAAGCAGAGGAATGAGACTTGGATTGGGCAGGCTCATTATGTAAGTGCTCCTCAAGACCTTTCTGCTGAGTTCTACAGGGGATGATGCTCTTCCCTTCTGGGCAACATCATCCCCAGTGTCTATATCATTAAGGATTACAATCAAGGGGCATGAGAAGGGGATGACAAGTGGAAATTACTGGGCTGTGAAAGTCGCACCAGCATTTCATTTTGATCCTTCTCTGCTTTGGGATATTGATAGTTAATTCCACTGGATAAGAAAACTGAGCTGAGTGACCTGAGAGATGGCTCAGTGGTTAAGAGCACTGGCTGTTCAGCCAGAGGACTGAGTTCAACTCCTAGCATCCAAATGGCGACTCACAACCATCTGTAAATGTAGTTCCATGGGATCTGATGCCATCTTTTGAATACATAAAATACACACTTAAATAAATCCTTAAAAAAGAAAAATAAAACTAGCCGGGTGGTGATGGCACACACCTTTAATCCCAGCACTCGGTAGGCAGAGGCAGGCAGATCTTTGTGAGTTCAAGACCAGCCTGGTCTACAAAGTGAGTTCCAGGACAGGCTTCAAAGCTACACAGAGAAACCCTGTCTCAAAAAAAAAAAAAAAAAAAACAGAAAAGAAAGAAAGAAAGGGAGGAAGAAAGATAGAAAGAAAGAAAGAAAGGAAGGAAGAAAGAAAGAAAGCTGAATCTAAATGGTCCAATTCACGCTGATTTCTGACCTCTCAGTAATGTAAATGTGCAATTCCCATTTTCACATTTACACATCATCTATAGATCTCTGGGTGAATCCTAGTAAATGTCAGTTCTCACACACAGCACGAAGCTCTCATGTGTGCACACATGGTCATGTCTATTCCGGCCTTTACCAGGGCTATTAACTTGCTTCTGGAATGTGAAACTCCCACGCATACAAAGGGGTGGTTCCTCAGTCCAGAACTCCACCCTGACATCCATCCTGTTCCCTCCTTGCCTCAGGAGTCCCCTTTAGCTTCTCTAACTCCCTCTCAGTAGCTAGTCACTTAGACCAGGCAAACAATCTTTGCCCCTGCTTTGAGGTTCTCACAGTGTTGGTCAATTTGCACAACTCCAATTTTGCACAGAGCCTTACTTGTTCGCTCTGCGGAGCTTTGAGAAATTCAGTCCTTAGGGACATAACATCCTTTTCATTACTGTGCCCGTGCTGTTTAATTCTCTTTCATTTACTCCATGTCCTTGGAAGAAAGTACTAAGTGACCTATCTTTATAGAGCATAGTAGCAGTACTATTTTCTTTTCAAGTCTAACACTTTATGAGAATAAAAATATAACTTTATGATGCTCTCTCTGTCTTACACACACACACACACACACACACACACACACACACACACACACACACACACTTTGGGATATATGAGATTAGGGCCTTGCTACATAACCAGGGCTGGTCTCAAACTTTTGACCTCCCTGTACAGGCATACCTCACCATCTTAAATATGACTTCGAAAGACATGATAAGGGGCTAGGAAACCACAGGAAGATGATATCCAGAAGGATCCATGACCAGATTATAATTATAATTATCTGGCTGTGGTACTTACGATGAAACCAGGGCTTGTGAATACTAAGCAAGTTCTCTACCATGGAGGTACCCCAGCTTCTGATTATAATATTTTAAAATCTCTTTGGCTGCTGTCTAAGCAATGAAGGAGAACCCTTGGGGAAGGGAGATGACAGTTCTACACTGTTACGATGTTTATGTTACGATGTCAACATGATGGGATGAAATCTTGGTCTTTTGTGATGTCACTGTCAGAATGAGAGAGGAGGAAGATGGGAATGCTTCTTTGTTTTTTAAAGTTTCATTTATTCTTACTTTACATGTATAATATATGGGAGCTTTGCCTGAGTGGAATGTCTGTGTACTTTATGTGTGCATTGCCCACAAAAGCCAGACAACGGCTAGGCAGTGGTGGCACACACTTTTAATCCCAGTACTCGGGAGGTATAGGCAGGTAGATTTCTGTGAGTTCGAGGCCAGTCTGGTCTACAAAACAAGTCCTAGGACAGCCAGGGGGCTGTCACACAGAGAACCCCTGTCTTGAAAAACAAACAAAAAAAATAAACCAAACCAAAAAAAAAAAAAAAAAAAAAAAAAAAAGCCAGAAAAGGTAGTCAGATTCCCTGAGACTGGAGTTATAGACTGTTGTTAACTGCCATGTAGGTGCTAGGAATTGAACCCAGGTCCCTTGGAAGAATAACCAGTGTGCTTAATTGCTGATTTATCTCTCCATCCCTGTTTTCCTTCCTTCTTCCCTCCCTCCCTTTACCCTCCCCTCTTGTTCCTCCTTCCCTTCCTTCCTTTTTTTAAGACAGGATCTTGTAGTCCTAGCTATCTTGAAACTTATTGTTGAGACCAGGCTGACTTCAAACTCACAGAGATTAGCCTGCCTCTGCTGGGATTAAAAGTGTGTGCTATCATGCCCAGTGAGGAGAGGCATTCTCAATTATGAAGAACTGCTGGCCAACAGGACCCTGTGGGGAATAAGACCGCCCTACCAGAGGAAGAGGGAAGGATTCTCATGTCATGAACCACTGTAGACAGCTGCTGAGGAAGCTTCTCAGGGTGCCAGGGAAGCCATAAAGAGCTTAGCTGGGGAAATGTCCCACAGAAGTTGATTGAAGCATAACAGAAAGTGGCATCCTGGACATCAGGAAGCCAGACTGACAGTCTGGTCATTCCATGATAGGAGTGATACAGAGAGGAGAGGTGACCCCCTGAGGGGCAGGATGAGCGTAGAGACCAAGGAGCTCTGTGACAGAGATCTGTCTGTCCATCCCTCCTTCTGTTCCTGCTCCCTCCCCTGTGTGCTTCCCTTACTCTTATCTGTTTTACAGTACTGGAGACTGAACACAAGACTTTGTGCATGCTGGGCAAGCTCCCTTACCACTGAGCTCCACTCCCCAGTTGACATTGCTACATTTCAGTTAGCTCAAAGCAGCCGTAGAGCAGCTACACACAGGATGCATTCATCTGAGCCATACTTGACTCTAAGAAACTCAGAATATTCATTTTGTGTTTTCCTTTTTTTAAAACAAGAATGTCCCAGAAAAGGAAACACAGAGCCCTCTTTGGGAGATGCTGTTGCTTGCCGGCATACACATACTCACCAGCTGACCACATCACCTCCGCAAGCCCAGGGCATGCAGCCATCAGGAACATGGGGACTGCAAGCTCTCTACCACCATCTGGGTCCCTAGACACAGGGCAGGAGCTGACTCCGCCACCTCTCAGAGAACAACAGCTCAGCAGGCTCTTGTTTTAGTTCAGTGACGCACATGGAACCACAGTGTGACAGAGTTTAGACCTTGCTCAGACCCAGACTGACCATTGCTAATGTCAGCTTCTGCAGGGGGATAGCTAAGAGAGAAACCACAACAAAACTTGCTGGGCGGTACAGCTATACAGAAAAACTTCCTCATGTCTAGAAGCCAAGATTTCATTAACACAGCCCTTTAAAAAAACCACCGTGCAGCCCTAGAACTAACTGAATCAGGACTTTATGATGTTTTCAAGAGACTTACAGACATCCTCAACCACAAAGCAGGCTGTGGCTGGGAACAGAACAATTGCCCTTGTGTTTGGTTTAGAGGCTAAGCCATAGCTGGATCTAGGACAGTGTGTACAAGATGACTGGCCCCGTGTGCTGGATGAGGCAGCAGAGGCAGAGCCTGGGACGGGTCTGAGGGTCTTGCATATATTCCCCGGCACCAGCATCCCACATGCTGCTCCATGATAGAGATAAACTCAGCCAAAGTTTTGTAACATTCTGGCACTGAACACTGAGAGGGGGCTGTCTTGATCGGATGTGCTTTGTGGTAGGAGTTGGGAGAGTTCACACCTGGCCAAGAACAGGTCTCCAGGGAACATTTTAAACACACAATTTCTAGGCCCACTTTGTGCCAACAGCAGCACTCTAGACATAGGGATAAGCAAGTGCATCATCAGAATGCTTCCCACAAAATTCTAAGACCCAGTTTGCTCTCAAAGGCACTGGTCCAGGTTCTTAACTGTGATCACAGTTTGAAATGCTATAGAGGAAAAGGATTACAGGGTTCAAAGTGAGGAAGCCATGAAGGATCCCAGTACCTCATATACCGTAAAACAATCCTACTTATTGGCAGCGTCTCTTGGACCTTACGTTGTTGTTTGGAAGCACACTGGTACCTTGTGTTGAGCATGCCCATTGATGGAGGTGAGCCACAGTGGGCTTACAGGAGCTGGGCATCCACCACCTGCATCAGGAATGACTGCTGGCCTGAGGCCTCCATGGGTGGTGCTCTCTGCACAGGCTCTCCTGGCTAAAAGCAAGCCCTATTTGCACTAGCCATGTCCGTGTTTCCTGAGTCATTGCACAGTCAGGTAGCCGCCCCATGAAGAAAGCCCAGGGACTCAGGGATGCTCACTTACAGTTCATCCAGGCAGTCCTCCGGCTGCTTCAGCCTGTGGCCGTGGAGAAGGTAATCGTACATCTCATGATTCTGGACTCCAGGGTAGGGGGTCATTCCCCGTGTTGCTATTTCCCACATGGTCACGCCAAAAGCCCACTGAGAACAAAGCCACAAGATGTGAGGACAAAAGTCTTTCCACAAAGGCTGAATGGACTTTTTCATGGGGAAAGGTCATTGCCTTAAAACCCTGATGATGAAGCACAAGGCTGGTAATTATGTCTGAGGCTCACTGTTCTTCTGACACAGCAACACATGGGCTAAAGCCCCACAGTTCCCCATTTGTATCAAAGCCATTCTGAGAAACTTGGCTAAAGGCAGATGGGGCCTCATCCCAAATCAACACTGCTTGCTTCACTGTTATACTCTTGCTACGGAGTATTTTCTTTCCCCAAACTTGGATCAAGGATATAATTACACAGCATCTTCTATATAGCATATGGGTTCCAAAGGCTACCAAACGAACTCATTCAACTTAATGTGCATATCTTAGTTACAGGCAATAAGAAACGGGTATCTCTGAAGGTCATATGTGAAGTATAGTTTTATGAATGTGGGCACTTCGCCACAATCAACTATTTGCCTGAATTATAGTTTCTACAAGATATAAACACCAGGTATAATGGTGTACATTTGTTAACCTAGCTACCGAGGAGGCTGAAGCAGGAGGACTTTCTAGGCTACATAGATAGACCCTGTTTCCAAAGTAAGTATAGAGGACTGGAGAGACGGCTCAGACATGACCACTGGCTGCTTGCTTCTCCAGAGGACCTGGGTTCAATTCCCAGCATCCACATGGTGGCTCACAGTCATGTGTAACTCCAGTTGCAGGGGATCTAACAGTCTTCTGACCTCCATGGGCACTGAGGCACATACATGGTGCACAGACATACATGTAGGTCAAACACCCATACACATAAAAATTAATAAAAGTAAAGGGGCCAGGAGAGGTGACTCAGTGGCTAAGAGCACTCTCTGCTTCTGCAGAGAACCAAGTTTGGTTCCCAGCATCCATTTTGACTCATAATCACCCGTGTCTGGCTTAGGCTCCGGGGATCTGATGCCTCTGGCCTCTGAGAACACCTGCATACATGTGCACATATCCACATAGAGATACACATACTTAAACACATACTTAAAATAAAATTAGATCTTAAAAGCAAAGAACATGGAGGTTGAGAAATTATATTAGTATTTTCACAGCATGTGTGGGACCCCAGGGTCAACCCCAGGACCACAAAAAAGCAAATGAACGAATAAATGAGTTAAATAAAAGCATGGTCCATGCATGTCCCTGACCCTCAGTTTATCAGAGTGCAATTCCCTGCATCATCAGTTTCAGTCATTTCTTTCAGTGTGTTCCCATCTCTGTCAAATCAAAGCTGTGTACATACCACGTCACTTTTGCTTGTGTAGACTCGGTCTGCCAGGCTCTCTATGGCAATCCACTTTACAGGCATTTTGGCAATGCGGCCTTGGCGGTAATAATCACCACTGTAAATCTTCTTAGAGAGCCCAAAGTCTGCCACACAGACAGTCATGTCATCCCGCAACCTGTGAAGAGTGGATTCAGGTCCTCAGCAACCTGGGGAGCAGAGCATTTGCTCCCTGGTCTGCATCAGATGCACGAAAAATAACTAAAGACACGGGCAGCTTTAGACGTGGCACAGTTGGCAGAATGTGTGGTTTGAGTCCTAGCACAGCATGCATGGGAATAGTGGTGCATGCTTCTAATCCCAGCATCTCGGAGCTGGAGGCAGGAAGAGCAAAAGTTCCAGGTCATCCTCAGCTGCTTGGCAAGTTCAAGGACAGCCTGGTATTCATGAGGAGGAGGAAAGGAAGAGAAGAAGCAAGGAGGGAGAAGGAAGGAAGGAAAAGGAAGAAGGAGGAAGAAGAAAGAAGAAGGGAGGGAGGGAGGGAGGAAGGGATGAAGGAAGGAAGGAGAAGACATGGAGCTCATTAGCATGGGGTAAGGAGCTGCTTTAAGATCAAAGACACAAAAAACAATAGGGACCAGGCATTACTGTATTCCATCACTTTGGCCTGTGTGTGGCTTGGTCCAGCAAAGGTACCCAGGCACAGCGGCTGAAGGCACTGGGGGATAGAGATGTGGTGGGCAGAGGAAGGAACAGCAGCTCCTCCTCCTGGCCCTTTTATGGATAGCATCATGCCATGGACTGGCCTCATGGACTAAGCAAGGCCTTGTACAGGGCAGGCACAAGAGGAGGTGAAGCCTGGGAGATGTGGGAAAGATGGCGCTGAAGGATTTCTTGCTAATGTAGCCAGCTGCTGGAGGAATGAACTGGAAAACGAAAGGCAGATAAATTGCAATCACAGCCCAAGCTAGTAAAACAGGTCCTAAACAAGGAGGAAGGAAAGGAAGAGAGGCAGACAGGACACAGGGAAGGGGAAGGGAGAGGTGGGAGGCGACTGATTTACTTATTTGCCAGACATTAACTTTATTTATTTTATTTTTTTTTTTTTTAAGACAGGGTCTCATGGATCCCAGGTTGGCCTGGAACTTGCTGTGTAACTAAGGATGACTGTGAACTGTGGATCCCCTTGCCTCCATCTCCCGACTGTGGGGAGTTCAGGTGTGCACACCCAAAAGTCCCACACTTTAGATTGGTAGTCCTCCTATCCGGCAGAAAAGACATGAAGGAGATATTAAAAGAAAAATTACATTTCATGATTCTCTATCCACAGTTGAAAAACAGTAACAAAACCCCCAAATCCCCTGGGCTTTAAAAACTGAAGTAAAAGGGGGTGTGGGGTGCGGTTGAGAAGAGCGAGTGGCCATCTCTACTGTCAAATCTCTGACCAAGAAAAACACAAATGGGCCACTCCCTCTTCTCACAACAAGGAAGTTAAAATCAAGGAGCAGTAATGGTGTTTGACATCAGGTAATGATTCCGTTGAAGCAGGGCAAAGAAATGGAGAAAATTCAAGTCCAAAGTTCTTATGCAAATTCTTACAATCCATCATCTGCTATGACAGAAAAGCTTCTAGATAGTTAAGCTACCAGATTTTATCACAGGTGTGGGGTAGATATGACTAGAAGTTCCTGGAAAGAAACTACACTTCACACTGAATGTTCTAGGAGGCTGATTATCTGGTTAGGAGTTCAAAGATTGTGGAGGGGTTGGAATGTCTCAGAGCAGAGTCTAACTACAATGTATCTTGAGCTATCTTTAGTTCACTAAATTGCCATTCTCTGCCCACCTCTGTGTCTGACCTAATGTCCTGCAATTCTCAGATGAAGCCTCTGGAAGTATTAACTCAGCAGACAGCTTTCCACCAATCAAGGCCAAAACAGTCATCAGATAACCATCTACGTGTCTGTAACCCATCTATCCAGTGTTTCCACCAATGTATCTGAAAGTGTGTTGATTTATGCTTTTCGTTGTTATGTTACTATAAAAACCTGAAAACAGTTACAGCTTTGGAATATGATATCTGAGGCAGCTGAACCTGTATTCTCAGGCCGTGGTCACTCATATTTGACTCTAGAATATACTATCTCTTACCCTCTTTGAGGAGAGAGCTTGGGGAAACAGCCACTGGGATTTTCATTACTGTCATTTAAGTTATACTATGGTTAGCTGACTTACATATTATTGTGGGTCCAAAGCTAGCTGATGGCCTTTGGAAGAGACCACAAAGATCATGTCCCATGCCTCTTGCTGAGTGACAAGAAGAAAACAGACTAGCCATAATAGAGAGCTTTGGACATTAGCCAGACTTTTAGAGGCAGAGACAGAAAACCCCCAGGAAGAGTCTCAGTCAAAGTGAGAGAGATGGGGTAGAAATCCCATCCAAAGTAAGGCACTCCATCTTACCCTCCATAATCTATGAAATTCAAGGCCATGAAGTCTAATGACCCTGCCTCCCCAGGATGGCCTACGTTCTTACATGCAGTTTCGAGCTGCTAAATCTCGATGAAGAAAATTCCTGTTGCTCAGATACTCCATTCCCTGGGCAATGTCCACCATGAACTTCAACAGTGTCTGTAGGGGGATGTGCTAATGGGAGGAAACAAAAAGAGACATTATGGTTTAGAAGGGAAAGCTGGCAACTCACTCTCACCCAAGGGGAAACAGTGATGCATTTATCTTTATTTTATGTGTATAAGCATTTTGCCTGAATGTTCACCGTGTGTGTGCTTAGTGTAACACAAATTAATAAGTGTCCCAGAGACTGATATTGGGGTTCAAACTTCTAGCTGAAGTTCAGAAAAGCAAAGTAGCTGGCCACTAGCTTCTTACCTCTACCTCGGGCTAAATGGGCTGATCCTATCTCCATGAATTCTCACCAAACCTCAGAATGTAATTAACCTCTCCTCAGCATGGCTGGAAAACGAAGGCCTCCTACCATATACTGAAGACCCTGCTTCTATCTTTTATAGCCCTCTAGGGCTGGGATTAAAGGCATTCAATATATTATTCTTTTAGACTAATTTAATCTCGTGATTCCCTAGGTGGCCTTGAACTCAGAGAGGTCTGCCACCTCCTAGCTTCTGGCTGCTGGGATTAAAGGTGTGTGCTGGGCTTCTAGGCTTGTGGCTGACTTTTCTTTCTGAATCCTCAGGCAAGCTGTAGCAAATCATAAATAATATATAACCCAGCTTAGTACCCAAGGAGGCCAGGAGAGGGTGTCAGATCTCTTGGAACTAGAATTACAAATGGTCGTGAGCTGCCATGTGGGTGCGGGAAACTGACCTAGGCCTTCTGCAAGAACAGTCAGTGCTCTTAACTGCCGAGCCATCTCTGCAGCCCTGGCAATGGCGTTCTTACTCCCCAAGTTAGAGCGATGACACAGAGAAACAAACCTTTCCTTTCTGTACTGTTAATTTTTAAAACATGGATATTTTGTTTTGAGAAAAGGTTTCTCTGTGTAGCTCAGGCAGGACTACAACTCAAGATCCTCCTGCCTCAGTTTCCCCAGTGCTGGAATGACCTACGTGAGCTACCACATATGGCTCAGAAACAATGTAAATAACTCTTAAAACAGGATTAGAGAAGAAACTCTCTAAAACCTCTTGAAAAACACTACATTCTTTGCTACTGAAAGTATTTCAGATGAAAAACATTTGTATCTTTTCACTGCTCCCGAGGCCAAAGGTGAGCCTTCACATCCCAAGAGGCACTGGGACAGAGGGCCAGGCCGGGCAGATAGGTCGAGGGAGGAGGAGGGCCTCACTGTGTGTTTTTAATTTCCTTTTACGTCTACCTATTTACTTTGTATGTGTGAGTGAGTGAGGGATCACTTGTGCCACCGCATACATTTGGAGACCAGAGGACAACCTGTGACAGTTCTCTCCATTCACTACGTGGGTTCCTGGGAATGAACTCAGGCTGTCCTTGGCAGAAAGCAACATCATCTGCTGGGCCATCTTACTGGCTCAAGTGTCTGATTTTAATGAGGGAAGAAGAGATATTGTGGGAAAGGGTCAGAAGTTTGGAAGAGAAAAAAAAAACAAACAAAAAACAAACAAACAAAAAACAAAAACACCCAATGTAATGGAGCTGTTTCTAATTCTGTATTCTTGCTATCAATCTTTATTCTTCCTCCTGACCTCTCTTTTCCTCCTTCTCTCTATCTATTCGCTGTGTGTGGCACTACCAAGGTTGATCTCTGGGCCTCACACCCACCAAGACAGCTCATTTTACTTTGAGATATTTTAAAACACAATTTTCTTCTTCTAGACAGTAACACCCGGGCAAGTTTTCAACCCTTGTCTTTGCACTAAAATACAAGTATGCATTCAGAAATTCTAAATTTTCCCTCTAGAGCCTTTTCTAGAGTTTCAGCCACTTAATGTTTTCTCTGTGTTGTAAACATCAGTCGAAATTGCTATGTGAGTAAACTTGTCACTGGTGGGCTAGGGACACAGCTCAGTGGTAGAGGACTCATGCAGCCTTTGCACAACCCTGCAAACCTGGGTTTACTCCCCAGCATTACTAGCCCCAAACACACACACACACACACACACACACACACACACACACACACACACACACAGAGAGAGAGAGAGAGAGAGAGAGAGAGAGAGAGAGAGAGAGAGCCAGCCTTCCATGCATTTAGAATGGGTTAGAAGGATGATGACTAACGAAGATCTCCAAGTAATAATTTAATGTTTATTGCAGCCGTGGTACTAAAGAAAGGCTGACTGCAAGTTCCTGGCAACCAGGAATCATGAGTGGTTTGACCATGGTCCCTGCACCCCTCCCACCACCCCACCGCATAACACTGGATCTGTCACAGCTCCTCCAAGCACCGTGAGTTTTCCAAAATGGTATACACAAGGGTATTGCATTTTGTTTTGTTTTCCTGTGGTACTGGGGATGGAACTCAGGGCCTTGTGTTAGACAAGTTCTCTACCATTCAGCTTGAACATTATATTTTTAATGACATATTTCCCAATCATGACATATGCTGATTATATAGTGCACATGAAACCAAAATGTCATAATCATCTTTACCCTAAGTAGCAAAGTTATGGAAAAAAAAAATAAACAAATCAAACATGGAATTTTTACCTCTCTGTGCATTTAGGGCATTTGGTTTTCTGAATGCAAATTTCTAGGACAGGGTTGGGTACTGTGAAATAGCAAATCCTATTGTCATTAGTGAGTTGTAATGAGAAGATATCAACTAATTTGTAATTTTTTTTACCTTAATAATTATGTTATTTTTGGAGTCTGTGATTAAAAGTTATTATTATTATTATTATTTGGTTTTTGAGATAGGGCTTCTCTGCAGCTTTGGAGGCTGTCCTGGAACTAGCTCTTGTAGACCAAGCTGGTCTCGAACTCACAGAGATCTGCCTGCCTCTGCCTCCCGAGTGCTGGGATTAAAGGCATTTGCCACCGCAGCCTGGCTAAAGGTTATTTTTTAAAAGTTGCAGACAACATTTAAAAATGAGTGAGAAGATTGCAGATGTTGCCACAGAGAGTTTTATGTGTCAGCGACAGCAATCTGGAAGTGAAGCAAAGGAAACAATTTCAGCCACAACAGAATCAAAGTATTCAGGAATGAATTTAACAAAGACACACAGCTTATTATTGTGTGTTCTCTCACAGGAGAAATTTTAAAAATCCAAATATATGAAGAAGTTATCTCTACTCATGGCTTAGAAAACTTAATAATACTCTGATGTCAATATGCCCAACTTCTATATTCCCTATATGCCCTGTTCCCATGTCGCTGGTTTCTCTGGAAACAACTCTAAAAATCTCGTATGGAAATCCACAGAGCTCAGAATATCTACAACAGACTTGAAGAAGAACGTGGCTAAGAGGCTCAGATGTACTAAAAGGCACTTGAATTAAGTGGGAAAGTAAGAGGACAGGTGTGAACACAACCACTGATAAACGGAATAGACAGTTCCAGGCTGGGGAGATGGCTCAGTGGGAAAAGCCCTTGTGATACAAGGGTGAATGCTTGTGTTTGGATCCCCAGGACCCACATAAGGATGGGCAAGGTAGCAGGAGCTGCAATCCCAGCACTCCTGATGGGAGATGGGAGGCAGAAGCAGGAACCCCCGGAAGCTCTCAGGACAGCCAGCCTGGTACACTCAGCAGAGAGCAGCAGACTCCACCTTAAACAAAGTGGAATGTGGGAATGGGTATGGGAGATTGTCCTGTGATCTTCACACCTTTACCTGATGATGGGAGTATGCCATCACACCTAGTTTTTGCAGTGCTGGAAGCAGAAGCCAGGGGTCCAAGTGGTCCCAGCAAGCACTCTACCTGCTGTGGCTCTAGCTCTCAAGGACAACATTTTACAACCCTGAGAACCTTGGAGGGGAATACATTATTGATGGGCCCATTTATGATTGCCAGGACCTTGTAGTAGGCCCTCATTTTCAGGGCCATGACTGCGTTAAAATATTTCTCCTTACTTGGAGGTCTTCTGTTGTCACCATCCTCATAACCAACTCCAACAGTGTCTTGCTTTCTTTCTCTTTCCTTCTTTTTGAACACTTTAAGATTTGATTTACATTTATTTAGTTTGGGGCACACGAAATCTTTCACCATGTGGTTCCTGGGAACCAAACTCAGGTCTTAGGCTCAGAGGCAAGCATCTGTATCTACTGAGCAGTATCCCTATCCTGTTTCTAAACACCTTAAATGGAAGAACTGTGCAGTATCTCAATAAAGTTGTTGCAGAGTACTGTTCTAAGAAAAGGATTAGGAAAGGGTGGTGGAGACAGATGAACACAGAGGTGGGTGTGGGGAGAAAGGGGCCCAGAGTGAGGAGAGGCAAAGGATGGCTTTCTCCCCTTTGTCTCTGGATGCTAGCATGTGACACTTAGAGTAGCTGCTGCCATATTATAACCAAGTGCAGTACCACCACAGATGTAAAGTCCAAGTGTGAGGTGATGCCAGACGCCCGGTGCTGCAGAGTCAGAACGGGTCATCTCTGGAGCAATGGTACCCTTGGTGCTGTATCCCAGGCTGCCCTTCTCCCTGTGAGCCTCCTGATTCAGCCTCCTCAGAAGCTGGGATAACAGGCTTGGGACACCGGGCCCATCCCTGTATCTTCTTTTGAAAGATAATTTTGAGTTGGTTTTGATATTCCGTGTTAATAAAGCCAGCTTCCTTACTGCAGAGCCCCAAACCCCAGGGCACCTCCCTTGCAGTAGCTCCTCTCTGTCCATCCTCCCTGGCTGTAGTGTCTCTCTATCCATCCTCCCCGGCTGTAGCCTCTCTGTCCATCCTCCCTGGCTGTAGTCTTTCTGTCCATCCTCCTCTGCCTTGCCCTTGCCCCTGGAGACAACTTGCAGTCCCTATAATTGCTTCTGGAGAAAAGCTGAGGTTCCAACCTGTGTGGTGTCTGTTCTCTTGCCCCCATCCTAACCCCATGTTTCCCTTTCCTCCATGGCAGTGAGGATTACTGAAGCTTCTCCAATCAGAACTCCTTTCCTCTTCAAGGCTCTAGAATAGACACACATTTCTGCTTGATGCATATCATCCCAGCTATCATCCTCTGTGAGATGCTGCGGTGGTGTTTATCATCTGTCCTGCACATCTCCAGTGACATTGTCCATGCAGAGGACAGGGACACTTGGAGCTCAGAGTCCAGGCCCTGATAGGAAGCTCACTGACAAGCCCTGAGACTTAATCTTGGAAGACAGTAGTTGGAACAAGAGGTCTTTATGCCTAGGAAAGTGACTGCACAGGAAGCAAGAAGCAGCCTGAATAATAGCTCCATGTTCCAGCTACTCTATGAGCTCTGTGTCTTCCATAGCTATTGCAGGCTACAAAATATCAAAATGTAAAAATATGTTCCTTTCCATCTTCATAACACTGGGGAGTTATTCTCTACCATTGAGGGCACCCTTGTACTTTTGCAAAGGGAAATAATTAACCAAGAATACACTGTGTGCTTTGTTTTCCTTACATGTTATTTATTTTGTTTAAAAGAATAAAAGATTACAGCAGAACTTTGGCCAGTTGAAGTAAGACTGTTGTTGGGGGTGAGGAGGGGTAGAGTGTGTGTGTGTGTGGGGGGAGAGGTTGGAGGGTTACAGGGTATAAAATAAAAGCAGGATAGAAAGAGAAAAAGTATACTCTACAGTGTTAAAGCTCACAGAAAATTGCAGTATTCAAGACAATGTGGTGGGGACAGAGGATGAGCAGATAGCGTTTGTTTACTTTCAAGACAGGGTTTCTCTGTGTAGCCATGGCTGTCCTAGAACTCACTCTGCAGACCAGACTGGCCTCGAACTCACAGAGATCTGCTTGGCTCTGCCTCTCAACTTCTGGGATTAAAGGAGTGAGCCACCACCACCACCCAGCTTTCAACAGATAGCTTGACAGGACAGATGGAGGGCTCAGAAATAGACCCATAGCGTACAGCCTGTCAAGATTTTGATAGAGGCCTGAAAGCAATTTAGTAGGTTAAATGTGGTCTTTTCTAAATGATGACCCATCATATACAAAACCAACCAACCAAAAAGGAACCTTGGTCAAGATGTAGCTTAGTGGGTAGAGTGTTTACAAAGCATACAAGTAGCCCTGGGCTCCATCCCCAGCACCCCAGGAATGGGACATGGTACACACATGTAACCCAGAACTCTGGAGGTAGAGACAGAGACAGAAGGATCAGAAGTTAAAGAACATCCTTAGCTATTTAGTGAGTTTAAGGCCAGCTCAGGCTATATGATTTCCTGGGCAAAATAATTATAGTAGTAATGAATGAGGTAGAAAGACTCACCTATTTTGGAAGTGCCATTCCCTGACTGGGACCCAGAAGTGTGTAAAAGTAGGGAAAGTTGGCTAGCTGAGCACAGGCACAGACAAACATGCATTAATTCATTGCTCTATGCCCTATTATTATTGTTGTTGTTGTTGTTTGAGACAGGGTTTCTCTCTATATAGCCTTGACTGTCATGGAACTCACTCTGTAGACCAGGCTGGCCTTGAACAGACAGAAATCCACCTGCTTCTGCCTCCCAAGTGCTGGGATTAAAGGCATGCACCTCCACCACCTGGTCACTTGCTTTTTTATTGTGGATGTTATATGAGTAGTTGCTCCAAGTTTCTGCCATGTTGACTTCCTCACAGTGATGGAACTGTGACCAAACAAGCCCCCTTTCCTTTACGTTGTGTTTACCTAGATACTTTGTCACTACAATAGGAAAGGAAGCTAAGACATATGCACACGTATATTGAGCAACTTGTCATGTTTTCTTTCATCCCTTCCTTCACTATGTGATATATTTATTGAGTTAATGTCATTACTGGGTATTGCTACATATTGTCATATTTAATTATAGTATAATAAATGAATAGACTTTCAAAAAATAATATAAAAAGAAGACTCCTTGAACCAAATTTCAGACCTTCTACAAAATGGATGACTCAAAATGGATGGGCTACTCAAATAACACACACACACACACACACACACACACACACACACACACACCAAATAGTTTTAAGAAAGCAGAAGGAAAAAAATTAAATCAGGGGTTAGTAAAGAGTTCTCAGACTCAACAGCCAAAGTATGAAACATGAAAAAAAAATTAACGCACATGTCTGTAATTGCACTCACCAGAGTCCTGCTGTTGGTGGCAGCTAAGGGGACAGAGGTGCGTGTGTTAGAGGATGCCCAGGTATGGGCTGATTGGCACTGTTCCTTCTTACTGCCTACACTTTTTGGCAGCAATAATTTAGGGCAATTCTGTCCTATCCTTGGGTGATTCCTGACAGCCCCATGTTTTCCCATTGGGGATGCCCCAGAGTAATGCTGCCATCTTAGATAGAGAAATGATGGAGAGGAGCGATGGACCAGCCAGAGCATGTGGTCGACACAAATCACAGCTTCTGCTCACAGTACAGGTCTACCCGTGGGGAACAAGAGTGGAGGGGATGGTGCTCACTTCACACGGAGGCCTGGAGCAATGTCTCCATCATAGCACAGGATCCCCAAAGATTGTAGAATCTTTGAAGTTCACAGTAAAAACAGACCCCAAAGAGGACAAGCCTTTAAATTCGTGCTCCTAAATCTCTGAGATGGCCCATCATTCATTAGCTTTCTGGGTATGACCCCACTTGGTAGGGCTGTGCAGTCCTTAGGGTGTAAGGGAGTAACAGAGTACAAGGATGGCAGCTGAACTCTCTCGCCTCACCATATCTTCCTGAGACTCTTCTTAGTGAGGCTCACAAAGTGATACACTCACAAATGATTATTTCACACCTTAAAAACTAAAACCCATGATTCCAAGGAGGGCTCTGTAAAGCTGGGTGTGTTGGCATAGACCTGAGCTATAATGTGAACTTATCTCAAATAAACAAAACACATCTCTTTAGGAGAGCTGCCTTTACCATCCTGTGATGAGTAAAGGCTCCATAGGCTGCAGTCAAGGAGATTTTGGCCCAAGACTATGGGACCACCTGACCTCCTCCTACCATGAACAGGGAGGGATAAAGACTCATTCAGGCCTGTTGGGGGATAGAGATCATAGTTCAACCCCTGGGTGCAGAGTGAACTCTGAACCAAGGCCAGTGTCCTTCTCTTGATTTTCAGAGACACTGAGGCTGTCCAGTTTACATAAAACCTTCAGGAACAGCTGAGAGGCAGCACAAGTGTTCTGTTACCTTTGGTCTTGTTTCTATCCGGGAATACAGCAGGAATGTATGTAGGTCTCCGTATTTCATGAAGGGTAAAATCACCATGGGCTTTGGGATGCCTTGAGAGCTCATTTCTATACACACACCTGAAATTGAAAACAGAAACAGTTACAAAGAGCCCTTGTTAGGTATGAACACATAAACCCTGGAGGCCCACTGGCCAAATTGGAGCCATGTGCTACCAGGTCAAGAGGTAAAAAATCAAAGGCTCCAGGCTCTCACAGTGGATCCTGGCATGTGTAACACCTGCAAGCTGCATGGCTTTCTTTCTTTTGTTCTTTCTTCCTTCTTTCTTTTCTTCCTTCCTTCCTTCCTTCCTTTTGTGTTCTCTCTCTCTCTTTTAGGTTAGGGTACTGTTTTCAAGAGAACTCTCAAAGCTCAATCTGTAACAAGAACAGACAACTAGACACCAAAGGGGTTTCGTGTTTTGTTTTTGTTAGACTGAATAACTGAGGGGTACAGACCTCAGAGAATCTGACGGCAAATCAGCTAAGTGCTCCTATGAAAAGGTCTGCTGTGCCCAGATGCTCGAAGTTATTAAAGTATTTTTGAGGGCTTATAGGAAAACCCCTCTTTCTGACTCTTGGTGATTGAAGATACAATGCTTTAGCATGGAATTCTGCAATGAGCTGGTCACCTGATCCTAGGCTTACAAAGTGTAATGTGCCAAGCAAAGTCGAATGTCTCTCCTAAAGTCACTAACTGCAAACAATTGCTATTTCGTTGACATTAGATTTTATCCAAAGCTTAGCTTTCACATCTCTACAGGGTCAGCAATATAGAACTTTGAATGATCACTTTGTTATGGATGGAGGCAAAGGGCAGGGAAGAAAAAGGCCAGCATTGCTAGATGTTTCTCTCAGCATAATGTCCTTTGGGTATCATGCACTGATACCCATGTCTGTATTTTTTTTTTAAACATAGATGTTTATATAAAGCCAAATTACATTAAATTGTGTCTAAGAAATAGTCAATGTGCCATGACTCACATGACAGTTCATAAATTATTTCTCAAAGACTATGTAGAAAAATGTCTAGGTTTATAGCTTTACCATTCTTGGACAGCCTCCACCCCACAAAGACTATCACGTTACTAGCCCTTGTGCCTTGCCTTTGAGTCACTAGGGGATATTTTAACTGACAATCTTCTAATTTCTGTGGACGCTCTCACTATCTCAAATTCCACCAGCATCCAGAAAACACAAACCCGTTTTTACTCTCGGTCTCAGAAGGTAGGATGAACCCAGTGTTGATGTTTGGTATAAACTTCTCTACAGAACTTTGCTTTTTCTTCTTCAGCACACACTGGGCCATCCAAGCCCCTCCCAGCCTCACTCTGGCATCTCCCCGAGGTACCTAGAAGCCGGATGACATTTGGGTGGCTGAAGTCTTTCATGCATGCAGCTTCGCTGAGAAACTCCTCGATCTCCCGTTGAGAAAAGTTGTCCACTAGAGGAGCAGATGGAGAATGCAAGGCTTGATCAATGCCCTCAGTTTAGAGGAGCAGATCAGAAATAGCACACAGTTCAGTAAAGCTTAAATCCACACCAGGCTTTACAGAGCATTCTTAACCCTTAGGGAAGCTGAGGTAGGAGGACTCAGGGGCCTGCCTGGGCAAGACAGCAAGACCCTGTCTCTCAAAGCAAACAAAACAAACAAACAAATCCCCCCTTCAAACAATAATAAAAACTCCTAAAATCAGGAAAAAGGCAAAACTATGGAGACTGGCAAGAGTACCTTAGTGTTTTGGGATCGGGCGACAAGAGAAGCCAAAGGGGAAAACAGGGATTCTTAGGCCATGCAAATGTTCTTCATAATGCCATATGGGGGACATAAACCTAAATTTGGTCTTAAAATGTTAATTTAATAAACTTTTAATTTTAGCGAGGAAAAAGAACCTCCACAAATCCAAAGGGATTTCCAACAGATCTGTCATAATTACCTTTGCCTCTCCCTTGCTATGGATGCATGCATGGGTCCAAAATGAATACTTGTTAAATGGTGCCTGAGAGCCGGGTGCACTTCATACCAAAATTTTAAAATGTAACCAATTTAAGAGAACTATTTACAATTCAATACTGCCCATCAAGACAGCTCAGTGGATAAAGGGACTCACTCTGAAAGTTTGATGATCTGAATTTGATCCCTGGGAACGCTCAATGTAGACTAAGGAAACAGAGGCCTACAAGTTATTTTCTGATCTCTAAATGTGTGCCATGGTGTACACACACACACACACACACACACACACACACACACTAAAAACGTTAAAAAATAAAATTTATGCTATATGAAACAAGCCAGTCCTGAGAGAATAAATCCCATTTGACTGCATTTGTGAGCGCTGCTTAAAATAACTAAACCAGACAGGAAGTAGAATGGCTACTTCTTGTCAGTTTCAGTCTGAAAAGACATAAGAGCCAAATGGTGGTGATGGGTCCATGGCAACATAAAGGTACTTAATGGCCTTGGTCTATACATTTAAAAATAGCTAAGATGCTAAATTTTATTTTATGGATATCTTACTATAATTGAGAACAGACAAAACATAATACCAAGCCTGTCATGAGGGATTTCTTCAACAGGCTGTAACTAGTGACTAAAATAGCCTGAGGGTATCTAGCCGAGGTCTGTACTATTCTATTGAAAAATATTTTAAAACCTTTACATTTATAACTTGTTTGTCATCCTTCATCTTCACTACTTCCCTTTGCTACAGAGCACAGGGTGGGGTGGGTGGGCAACAAAAGGTGGGGATGAAGGTTTGCCTGTAAACCCTTACCCAAGGGCCAACCCCAGGCAAATGGGGACTCAGAAGCCTTTCTTTTTCGTAGTAGGTTAGAAACAAATTTATGTCCCCACATCATCAATTTTATGTCCACTCGGGAAAAAAGCACCTGTGAGAGACTGTGTTACACCATGGACGACTTCGACCTTTGGTTACAATGCTAAAATCTCTAGGTTAAGAGACTAACAAGCTCTCTTCGACAGGCCCTAGTTTTTATTTTATCTTCCACAGTGCTCGGGATTGAACCCAGGGCTTAGTGCATGCCAGGTGAGTGAGTGCTCTCCCACTGAATTACATGGAGATTCTGAGGCAGGAGGCTATCTTTTCAATCTTAATAACCAACATGATATAATTCATGAGGGAGCTATTCTGAGGAAGTGGCCTCATTACTTTAGAGTCATGTATTAACATCCCCCGCCTCAGGAATCATGCCTTACTTGGGGATCACTAACCATCCTAGATAGATGGAGGATGAGGGAGAAAAAAAAAAAAAAGATAGAATTGGTGGGAGTGATGGATGTTGCTCTGAGCATGAAGAATACATGATGCATGTGTATACAGACAGCTCATCCCATACCTTCTGCTGGCGACCACGCTCCCACACTGCCTAGTGGCCCATCAGCAGCTGAGACCAGAGCACAGCATGGTTCTACATGGAGCGCCTGATATTGAGGTAACTAACTGCCCACCCTGGAAATGGGTCCCATGCCGGAAACTCACACTTCATGGTCTTTACTGCCACCTTCTGAGAAGTCCCATCTTCCTGCTTCAGATTTCCTTCCATCACTGACCCAAACTCTCCTGTGAAGTGAAGCAACATCCATGTCATACTGTGTAGATACCCTCCTGACCACGCAAGTGCAGGGCTGTGTGGTCCTGGAGCTACTCATGTGCTATGCTCAGACACCTGTGATGGGGGACGTCCTTCTGTATCTATGTTTCTCTTATTGGTTGATGAATATAACACCGTTTGACCAATAGAGGCAGGAAGATAGGCTGGACTAGGCAACAAGGAGAATTCTGGGAAAGGTAGGCAGAGAGGCGCCGGGAAGAGGATGCTGCATAGACCACAAAGGAGTAACAAGTTCAGGCATTCTCCGGTAAGCCAAGACCACGTGGAAATACATAGATTAATAGAAATGGGTTAATAAAATTAAGACACAGCTAGCCAGTAAGACGCCCTAGACATCGGCCAACAGTTTATAAATTAATATATAGCATCTGTGTGCTTATTTGGGGCTGAAGTGGCAGTGGGACCTGTCGGGACAAGACAAATACCAGCAGCATACCTGCATAGCAGGGAGGAGCTCTGGTACTTTGAGTTTGCGTGGCTAGACCTCACTTAGCTTGTCATGTCACCAACCATTAAAAACAACCAAAGATACTCACAGGGAAACATGGAAATATTACTGAAGATGACAAAACTGTCTTTTTTACCCCCCAAGTGCTAGATACAGAAGTTAGGCAAACACTCTACCTGAACTATATTTCCAGCCCAAAGCACAAATTTAATAGCTATCATTCACACTAAAAACAATTTAAAGTTTAAGTAGGCATATTTCATCAACTGAAGAAGTAGATCAATACCTTAAAGTGCATAGAACTCGGATAGATCAATAGATAATGATAATAAATAATAATTAATGAGTCACATGCTTACAATGAAGGAAGGGAAACCATATTTCCAAAGCTTACTCCGTTCCAGGGACTGGAACCTCTAACCTATGTCAGATCTGAGTTTCAAAATTCTCCTCTTTCCAAAGAAGAATTATTTGCATTATAACACCAAGTCATAAAATTGGTATTTTATTCAATGAATACACATTTAAAAAAAAAAAATCCTCAATTGCGCCTTGTCTCGGATTTTACAATGAAATACTTTGAAGCTGCTTACCTTCCCCCAGAATTTTTCCAAGAATTAGAAGATTTCTGTCAATCACAACGTCTTCCAGTTTATTTTGCAGCTCCTCACTTACTCCCAAGCTGTGCACTACAAAGGAGTAATCACGTAAGAACTAGCAGTGTGCTCTCTTCCGTTAAATACAAGGAGAAGTATATGGAAGGTTCTGTCATAGTTACACATTTTCCTTACTCAATACTCATGCAAAAAGTCTACACTTTGTTCTACTGTGATTGGGGTGAGTAAACTTAACCCTTCAAGGCAAGACCATCTACAAACAGCTATAAAAAATGAGAGCCACACTGCCCTTCCCTTTTCACAATGGCAGCTGACCACACTGAGATTTGTTCAGAAGAAGCCTGCTTCCATCTTTAATATGTTAGGGAAACATATCGATAGGCACATGCTGGTGGGTAATGTATACCTACTTATAGTATAGAAAAGAGCCATTCCCTACCCTCCCATGCCAGCCAGGGAAGAAGATACATGAATCACAGGAAACAGCCAGATGCTAAACTGTCCTTGACCATGTGGTATGTGGCATTTCATTCTAAGGCATCAGGCTAAACTGAGTACTTCAGAGGACTGGAGATCAAGACTGTCTACAGCAAATATGCAGAACACCATAAGGTAAATAGCAGGTGTGCAGCATTAGAGAGGGAAAATCATTTAATGACCAACTAACAGAGGATTTACCCTGGGCTGCAGGTGGGGCATGAGCAAACTTTGAAACAGCAGAGCCTTAATATTGGAAGGGAGATATCCACTCCTAGAGAAAAATTACTCAATTTGTTCTCCAATATGGGAGAAAAAATGTCTAAATGAATCACTTTTAAATGCAAGAACAGAGACATCTAAAGGTAAAAACGTTGGTTAGAAAAGTAGTTAATACTGTTGCACACCAAGTCAGTTTTGATTCGCAGCAGCCTGTATATTCCGTCAGGCTACCTCCTGTTCTGCTTCGATTTATTTTTGGGTTTTGCCAAGTAGACATTCAGAAGCATGGGTCTGACAGTCTGCATTCATTGTTCGTGCTCCCGAGATTGCTCAGGAACTTGTATCTGTTTACCCTTCCTCCTTAAAAAAAAAAAAAAAAAAAAAAAACCCAGGTTCCCCACTGTCACTCATCAAAATTCAAGCCTTCCAGTAACTTGGCAGACTGTCCTTTGAGCTAGTGGACAGGACAACAGGAAGTGAGCCTGGAGATTACATCCACATCTTTGTGGCTTTCTTTAAGCCTCTGACCTCTGCCCCATTTCCTCGTTGTTTCATGGGGTTATGGATCCTTAATTTGTTTCTTAACACCAGATTCACTTCTAATTTCCAGTAGCTTGGCCAGTAGATCGATATGGCGACATCTGATCATCTCCTTGCTAGCTTCTAAATGTCAAACTATCCATCCCAATGGGTGCAGTGGCCAGTGATTGTAAAGTCAGCACAGAGGATGCATTGGAGGCAGGAGGATCATGAGTTTGAGGCCAGCCTGGACCACACAGCAAGACCCTCCCTATCTCAGAAAACAAAACAAAACCCATGTATGTATATATGTGCATCTATATGTATACACACACATATATCTCAGAAAAATACATACGTATACATATTTTTTCTTTCTTTTCCATTCTCTTCTCTTAGCTTTCATTTAAAACTTATCTTGGCTCTTCACTATTTTAACTTTTGCCAAAAAGTGAAATGGAAGGCTACTTACAGGTAAGCTCGATGGCCCGCCGACAGAAGGACTTCTTTGCTATGTAATTTACCACTAATTGGGAATCCTCCTCGGAGAATGCACCCCTGCACAAAAACAAAGACATCCAGCCATAAAAACGGTAATGGAGCCATGTGCCGACACCACAAGGACATGATGGTGTCGTGGGCATGTGCAAAGGGTTCTTCTGCAGCCCAAACGTTTCCCTGCTGGAGGTGCAGCTTGGGGGTAAAGTGCTTGCATAGCAGGGGTGAGGGGAAGCGGGACACGGACCATAAAAACCATTTCCCACTGGGAGAAATAGGTTGCTTTTTTAAAATCTATTTTAGGTCTACCTGGTGACAGCAAAACATCTCTGCCCGGCCCAGGTATCATGAAGGACAAATAAAAGGACTGGGTATCAAAGAGAAGTATGCTTGCTTAGCCAGGCCAAGGCACTAGATTCAAGCCCCATACCATATTTACATACACATATGATTATACCTGTAAATATCTTAAGAACAAAGGACAACTGATACATCTTTAACAATATTTACTTACTTTTATGTGTATGATTGCTTTGCTTGCATGCATACCATTGCTCCAGCCTCAGCAAGCCTTTTGCTGAAGGTCCATTTTTTGAGTCTTTAAAAACAAATAATGTATATATGGGTGTGGTCTATGTGAGTACCAGAGGAGGCATAAGACCCTCTGGAGAGCTGGAGTTACAGGTGGTTGTGAGCCTCTTGACATGGGTGCTTGGAGTCGAACCCAGGTCCTCAGCCAGAGCAGCAAATGCAGAGCCATCTCCCCACCCGGACTCAGCATTTCTTAAGTGCTGACAGAACATGCAACTTTTAACCCAGGCTTACAGCTTACAGTTAGAATTGGTAATGACCTTGGGGACCACTGAGAGATGGATAATAGCAAGGAAGCCGGGCAACATTAAAAAGACTTGTCTAAAGTGACAGGGCTGGGGTCTGGAAAAGGAAAAGAGAGTTTTACACTGGAGTGTCAGAATGCAAAGTGGTCTCTATTTGAAATGGATAATTACAGAAAATGTGACAATTTAGCCAAGGGAGGAAGGGAGAAGAGGAGAGGGAGGGAAGGAAGAAGGGTGAAAAGAAAAGAAATAAAAAGCAAGAGCCAAGCACCTTTAGCCAACCAGGGATGATGACACCTTGGTGACTGTCCCATTATCTCCTATACATGCAGGTGGGCATCTTTCTCTGGATTGACTGGGCCAGAAGTGTTAGGAATTTCATATTCTAGAATCGAGAAGCCAAATCTAGACATGAAGCACATGCCCATTTCACACCTATTTCACATGCAGCTCTAAGGCATATAGCACTTGTAATCATTTTTGCATCAAACAAAATGTGGCATCATGCTGACATTCTGTTTCCAACTGAACCATTTCGGAGTTCACTTTTTTTTTTCAGTTTATGGATGTTTAGGATGTATCTTAAAAACGAAACAAAACAAAAACCCCTGGGGGCTGAGGAGAGGGCTCAGTGATAAAGTGCCTGATGGGCAAGCATGAGGGTGTGACCCCCCAGATCCACACAAAAGCTGAGTGTGGTGGTGTGTTCTTGTAGCCCTAGTGTTGAAGGTAAAGAGAAAGGCAGAACTTCCCCCAGCTAACCAGACCTCCAGTCTAGTCAAAATGGCAAGGTCCAGGTTTAATGAGAGAGCCTGTCTCAAAAAATAGAATGGAGGGGCCTGTGAGATGGCTCAGTGGGTAATGGTGCTTGCTGCCAAGCCTGATGCCTGAGTTCAATGTCTGGAACCCACATATGGAAGAAGAGAATTAACTAACTCTTGCAAGTTGTCTTCTGATCTCCTTATGTGTGTCGTGGCATCCCTCACACACGTGTGCATACATGTGCGCGCGCGCACACACACACACACACACACACACACACACACACACACACACACACAGGAGTTAAGAAAAAAAAAAACAACTTCTTTTAAATTTATAAACAGTGGTGATCAACAAAGGAAAACACCTGATCCTGACCTCCAGTCTCCACACAGGCATGCACGGGAAAGTGCAGATGCACACACGTGTTGACACCTGTATACATCACATGCACAATAAATAATAATTGGGGTCATTTTTAAAGCTTCTCATTCAACATTACCCAGTGTTCAAAGTGTATCCTGCTGAGGCTTGACTCTGTGAAAGAACCCATTGTAGGGCTGCCTCTTGCAGTTGCTGGCTTTGCAGGAATCGACCTAAGTCACTTGACTCTGGGGCTTGCATAAGATACAACCCACCAGGCAGGTGCTATCCTCTGTCATAACAACCTCACCAATACCACGGGGTTAACTTGCTTCTCCTTTTTATAGACATGGTCTTACCCATCCCAGCTTTACGTAGACCAGGTTGATTTCAAGCTCACAAAGATCTGCCTGCCTGTGCTTCTGCTGGGATTAAAGGTGTGTTCCGACATGTCTGCTCAAGGTTAACATTTTTAAGTGAGAAACTTACCCAAACTTTGTTTCCTGAACTCTTCTTCTGATGGCCAGAGAAATATATAAAATCAACCCAATTAAAACAAATCCGCAAAAGCAACCAAGGATGATAAGCATAGACTCTGTGTTGCCAGGTGCTGGAGTTGATGAGGGCGCATAGTCTACCCTACCTGGAACAAATCCAAAAACATGGAAATAATACTCAGGGATTCAAAACACTGGCTTGCAATCCTTAATATTTTGGCACTGGGAGGCAAGGAAGTCACATGGGCATATGTCTTTGCCAACTGTATGAACCGAGTGACAGATATGGTGGTTAGTCACCAATAAGCTTGGAAACAGGTGACATGACTACTTTGGAGGTGCTGCATATCTGTCACTCATGGTGACTAGAGGTAACTTTATGCTTTGTGCAATGACAGTTCTCATAGGAGGGTAACTAAAATCTGAGACATATTGCTGGGAACTGGTGTTATTTAGACTGTAGTAATGGGTGCTTTTTACAGGTGATTCTGCCTTTGAAGCAAACCTTTAAAATCTTTTACAGTTTATTACACATGAAAATGGAAAACTTATGGTGCTAAATTCTGATTTTTAACAATGATGAACCATTATTGGTGTGCATGTGTATGTGTGTGTGTGTGGGCGTGTGCGTGTGTGCACGCATATATATTTGCCAACGTGTGCAAGCATGAATGCACATGCATGTGGGCACCCATGGAGACCAGAAAAGGGCATCAGATCCCTTGTAGCTAGTTACAGGTGGCTGTAAGCTGCCTGGTATGGATGCTGGGAACTAAGCTCTGGTCCTCTGCAAGAGCAGCAAGTGTTCTTAATTGCTTTGTAAAACTGTGTATTTTGAATCAGAATCTCACTGTCTTTGAGTTTCTTCCAGGTAGATGCCCTTAGTGTCCCTAGCACCAGTAAGCATGTTCCTCAGGAAAGGAGTCTGCTGGCTGCAGGAAGGTAAACTACCTCCTATTTAGTTCTAAAAGGAGGGCCTGCTTGGGGATCACTGGGAAAGAGATGGACACAAATGAGTCATCTGCTCTCAAGTCTCATCTGCTATTGGGAGCAAAGGCCATGTTTGGCAAGAACCTGTAAATGAATAAGTCATGCTGGAAAAGATGGCTGGGCATGGAGTTTACAACAATGGTTTAATACCAAACAACCTAGGATGGGTTGGAGTCAGGACAAAGGTGGCTCCCCGACGTACAGAAGCATGACCAGCATTTGGCCCATGAAAGGCATCATGGTGGCTCCTTGCCAAAGAACATTCCAGCAATAAGCAAGAGCTAATATGCGTGGTTGGGCATTTAGCTCAGCTAGACAGGACAGGCTGAGGATGGCATCTGAAGGAAACACTGGTGTTCTGTGCAGACTAAGTCCCTGAGCACATTGCCCAAGGGTTGAGTGGGTAAAAACAAGAGGAGCAATAGCTCCAAACAGCAGAAACAAATGTGGCAAACCAGCCGTGCCAGTCAGAGGCAGCTAAGGACTAGTATTATTGCCTGTCCAAAATGCAGTGTCCAAAATACAGTGTCCAAAATGCAGTGCCATGTGCCTTAAACAAAATTCAAGAGGTAAAGTCCAACTCAGCATTCTGAAAGGATGGATATTCATCATACATTATCAGTGCTCACAATGATGGCAGGGCTGTAGGGGTTCTCTAGAGTGTATTCTAAAGTTCCTTATAACTTTTTTGCAACAATGCTTTTTGGTTCTTATTTTACACTTGTCAATCACCCTCCATCACATTGGTCCCACTTAGGCAGTCTGTGAGCTGCTCAGACTGCCACACTCTGCAGCCAACAGGGGTCCCCGACTACTTACTGTGTTCAGGAATAATTATTTTCACTGGTTCACTGAAAGGTCCAACACCCCCTTTAGTGATGGCTGCGATCCTCACTGTGCAGGTGGCATTGTGGATTTGGACAGGAATCTGAACCCAGCAACCATCCTGGCTGACTTCTTCAGAAAGCTCTTTCTGCTGACAGAGAATAAAAAAGGAAATGAAACACTGAGGCATTCGGGGACCTCACTAGACAGCTGCCCACATGCCCACAGTTCCTTCTGAGGGAAGCCACCCATTTTCCATACACAGAGGTCATGTTTCCACAAAGTTCCTTCTTCACAAGGGCCATTGCCAGTGGCACTACAGGGTGGGTCATGGAGGTGGGGGCGTCAGCAATCTCAAGCCTTGGGGGCCTTGGGAAACTAAGATACCAAAGGCACAGCATTTACATCAGTCACTTAATAAACTGAACAGACGGAACATGCGGTGGATGCCTCTAGGTCAATGGTTCTCAATTTCCCTATTGCTGCAACTCTTTAATACAATTCCCAACCACAAATTATTTCATTGCTCCTTCATAACTGTAATTTTGCTACTGTTATGAATGGTAAATGTCTGATAAGTAGGCTATCTGACATGTGACCTCCTCCCCCAAAGGGTTACAATGCACAGGTTGAGAACCACTGTTCTAGATGTTAAGAGCAGGACCGAACCCTTGTAATCCCATGTGCAAAATCTTACCCTTGGCATAATGCCACAGGCTCACACTGTCCCTGGGCACTATACACCTGCCAACCACCATTGGTTTAGCCAAGCTTCTGTTCCCTGAAGTCCTGGGGATTCTGAGTAAACTCTCTAGCTGGATAGATGGGAGAAGTGATTGTATTTCCCCCTCTTCTGTAACAAATGGACAATTTGTGTGATTTTATTTTTTTGATATGTTTATTTTATCATCATGAGTGTTTTGCCTGCATGTATGTCTGTGTACCACATGTGTCTTCTGGCTATGAGGCCAGAATACAGTATTGGATCCCTTGGAATTGCAGTTACAGATGGTTGTGAGCCACTATGTAAGTGGTCCTGGGTCCTCTGGAAGAGCAGTCAATGCTCTTAACCACTGAGTGACCTCTCCAGCCCCAATCTGTGCAATTTTTTGAAGCATGGGTTTATTTTGCTGCTGTTTTAAAGCCATGGCCATGCAACAGTGAGCCATGAAGACCCAGAGAGGGAAACAGCCTTAACTGCTTGTTCCTCAGGCTTTCCAGACCTCCATGGTCACAACGCTCTCTGTTGTGGGAAATGTATTTGGACCTGAACTTTTAATTTTGCTAGTTTTGAAATCACATTATAATCACTTCATTTCTGCTTTCTCTTTCCCCCCCTCTAAGCACTCTCATATAACCCTCCTTGTTCTCTTAATTCATAACCTCTGCTTTTCATTATTGCCGCTATATGTTTGTATGCATTTACATGTTACTTGTATGTATGCTTTCCGGGCTAAATAAAGATGACACCAATATACATGTAAAAGTGAAAGCCCATGAGGCCTACACAAAGAACTACAAGCTTAAGGAACACCAACAATGGGAGACTTAGTCTTCCCCAGGGAAGAGCACACCAATTTGTAATCCAATACCAAATGGGTCCACCTTTTAAAGTGAGAATTGTAGGGTTTCAATCTGAAATGAGACTCTGGGAAACCTGAGTGGACATTTGATTTCAAAGGGAAATAACTGGTCATGTGGGGCACAACCATCTTTGGACTGGAGGCATGGTTGATGGTAACTTCATCTCAGGTCCATTGGATTTCAAGCCCGTCACTTCCAGAAATGGTGCAGGACAGAGCTAGCTCAGCCTCAAGGACAGAGCAGGCTGGTCAGTCATTCAAGACCAAGAGGCCACCTGATCTGGCCTTCCAGAATTATTTCTGAATGTAAGCCGGAAGTGACCCTTCAGTTGAGGGAGGTTAAGAAATAAAAACACCACCTCCCACCCTTCTACCCCAAGGCCTGAGCTCATGGTATGTGCCAAAGATTTTTGTTGTTGCTAAATAAACAAAAAGTTAGCAATGGTAAGCTGCATATCCTAGGTTGGTCCTTTTCAGAGAGTGTCTTATTTTGATAGTGGGTTAGTGTGTAATTCTACATTTAATTTGGGGGTAGATAGAACTGAAAAACATCAGGTAGTCCACACCCTGAGTCCTGGAGCCCTGTAATGAGTGACTCAGGCTTTTCTCATTGAGAAAAGTCTATGGCATAGCTCTCAGCCTGACCACTCTTCAAAGCGTAAGACTTCATGCTAAAAAGGAAATGGGGCCTGTGTCTGGCTGTATACTGTTTTTTTCCTGCAAGATTTAGATGTGATACATCATTTAAAGAGAAATTACTTATATATTAAAAGTAAACATAAAACTAGGAAAAAATGACACACCTAGGCCAATATAAAGCCTAACAAAAATGAAATTAAAAACAAAAATAAACGTAACAGTGCATTTGTTTCTTGGATCTGTATGGGGTTGGTTCCCACACAAAATGGCTAGATGTGTGCTCAGTGGTGGGCACATGCTTAGCTGAAGTGGTGCTTTGGGTCTCATCCTCAGTATTCATACATGGACACAGTATTCACATACAACCCACTGTAAATTCTTTTATAAAAAAATAGAATGTTTTGAGAATTTACATAATTTCCTCCATTCTCTCACAAATTCATAACCTCTTCTTTAGTTATTTTTCTCTCTCTCTGTCTCACGCCCAAAGAGAACGGATGGATTCTTCCTCTCTTAGCAGCCATTAATTGCTTGTAGCTCTTCATTTAACCTATGTCAGCATGTGTAAATCATCTGATAACTTACAATAATATGCAATAAAGTATTAACGGATGCCTTATTACTTACAGTTTTCAGCAATGTGGCTATTCATATAATTCATATAATATTGCTATTGTTGTTAGACTGCTTAGGGAATAATGACCCAAACAATGAAAGATTTTTTTTTTTTTTTCAAGATAAGGTTTCCCTGTAACAGCCCTGGCTGTCCTAGAACTTGCTCTGTAGACCAAACTGGCCTTGAATTCACAGAGATCTGCCTACTCTGCATCCCAAGTGCTGGAATTAAAGGCATGTGCCACCATGCTCTATGGAGCAAACCCAGGGTTTTATGCATGCTCGGCATGTTTTATAGCACTGAAATACATTCCTAACCTAAAAAACAAACAAACAAACAAAAACAGGCTTGGTAGTATACATATATAATCTCAACAATGGGGAGGCAGGGGCAGAAGGATTGCTAAAAATTCCAGGCCAGGTAGGGCTACCTAGTAAGGTCCTGTCTCAGACAAAACAAAACCAAAACCAAATATTTTGATGTAGAGTCTCTCTGTAGACCTGCCTGGCTGGACACTCACTATATAAAGCAGACTGGTCGTGAACTGACAGCAGTTTTCATAACCACAGTTCCCCAGTGCTAGGATTACAATACAACCATGCCTGGCTAGGAAGATAGGATGCTTACTAATAGGCATGACTTATTTTCTGAATGTTTTCAATCTGTGATTAATTGAGTCCATAGATGTGCAAGTCCCAGACATGGAAGAGCAACTATAGTTTCTAACATCTACTTACTTGGGGCCTATATTCATTATGAAAACCTAGAGAACTTCATTTCCACCTTCTGTTGCCAAGAGGAATTAACACAGGCAAACAGCTAACCTGGGAAAAATGCATGCAGCAGGGTCTAAGCCAGCAAGTGTGGCACTTCCTTTGATTCTGATTTTGGACACTGTGCAATCTATTTGAGACTGGATTATTAAGTATCTACCACACATGTCTTGGGGTGGTCAGGGTTCAGAGCAGAGCCATTTCCCAGCATGCAGTGGTTGGCTCATGAGATGTGTGCCATGGGCCAACTGCGGATTTCTTGCTCAGTAAGTTTTCATTGTTCACTAACATAAGGACTTGAAAATCTACTAACATTTTCTTCAGGTAATGAAGGACAATTTATACTATGGCATTTCAATGTGATTTCCCATAATTACTTTAAAAATGGAATTATAGACTTTTGGAGACAAGAAAGTAATAGCATGTCCTTGGAAAGACAATTTGGTGTGGCTTGGAGTTAAGACAGGACAATTATGGTATTTTGTTTTATGATCATTAAATGATTTTAACATCACAAAATATTCTATAAGAATTCACACCTGTAACCGATAACCGTGTCTAAAAACATGGCCCATTTCCAGCCCCAAGAGCAACATCTTCAGTGAGGGAAGAAGTATCAGATAAAAGTTGTGTCACACGAAGTAACAAAGGGCACTTGTTAAAAGTGCTCAGATTCATAGGCACGGACGACAAACCAATATCTTCCTGTCATTACTTCTGAGGGTCTACACTGTGGACCTGAGTGTGAGGTTCTGCATTAGGAAGAGAGACAATGTCTGTTAGGAAGTAACCTTGGCTTTGCAGTCAGCCAGGCCCTGGTTCTTATCTCCAGATCTCGAGTTCCAAGCTTTGCAGCTCTGGGAGAGTAACACCGCTAAGCCTGTTTCCCTGGGTGAAAACTGAGATGACTGTCTTTTCCACAATGTTTATTATGTAGGAGTTAAACAAGTCCCTGATAGAAAACAGTTCACAGCCTGGAAAAAAAAAATCAGTGGTGGATTGCGTTCATCAAGGTGCTGTGCTTGGGTCCTCCCTCCTCTATAGCTGTAAGGCCTTCCTTTAGCATCGGTCTTGCAAGCCTTAGAACACTGGAGGAAATTAAACTGTCCAGCTTTCCAAAGCAGGACATCCATGACCCACTCGGAGATTACCTCCATGGTAAATTTCTCCTCTAATCAAAGAGAACTGTTCTCGGTCGATTCCTGGGTTTCAGAAGTGGCTTAGAACCCTGACCCATCTCATAAGAACATTGACTATTTCTAAAGCCTAAATATTATACCCTCTCTTATACCCTGCCTTCTGGCAGAGAGACAGAGACAAAGAGAGAGAAGCAAGGGAAGGGGAACAGGGAGCAGGGAGCAGGTCAACATGCAGACACATCTCTGATGCCCTGGCAGCCACTGGCAAACTCAGGAGGAGGCAGAAGTCTCAGTCCAAGGAATCCTTAGGTGTACTTGGTTCCATATTGTGTGTGTATGTGTGTGTGTGTGTACATGGGTGTGTGTTTGGTGGTTCTGGGGACTGAGTCCTAGTGCACGAAAGGCAAGCAAGCACCTTATTACTAAGCTATATACCCAAAGTCCAATCACATTGTTTCAAGACCACAATAATCTCTGTTGAGACTCCCATCTGATCTAAAATCTCTACCCACTACAAACACAGATTAAACCAGCATTAGAGCTATAATCCCCACTCAGAGGTACATTCTCGAGCTGGTTTAGATGGTACAGCAGGTTCCACATACTGGGCCCATAGCACCACAGATGCCTGCAAAGCAAGGACAAGGCCCCGTGTTCAGACAGTGCACAGATGGACAAGACTCCAGCCTGAACGAGGATGCACTGGTACTTGCCCCTGACCTTTGGACTTTGAGCTCTGATTTGGAAGGCAAGAAAAATAAAGGAAAAAAATGGTAAAAATTTTCCACCTAGGTATAAGGAATATCTAAGCAGCAAAGACCAGAAGCTTCTTTATCCAGTTGCCCACACCATTCTCACTGCAGAGGGCACCATTCTGAAGAGTACCGGGAACACAGAGCACAGCCTAGCATGGCTGGCGACCCCCCACAGCAGACCACTCAGCTACTGTATTCACAACATTTCCAACAGCATCATCCTTCACCCTCCTCAGCTCAAGAGGGCCTCACTAGAAGAGTGGCTTTCACCCATGCCAGAGGCAGAAGGGCTGACCGGGCATTGGTTGGCTTGTAGAGAACCCAGAAGCCTGCCATTGGCAGTCACTATTTTCTGCCAAAAAGGAAACACGAAATTTGAGCAGGGCAATGGTGGTGCACACCTTTAATCCCAGCACTCAAGAAGCAGAAGCAGGCAGATCTCTGTGAGATTGAGGCCAGCCTGGTCTACAGAGTGAGTTCCAGGATAGCCAGAGCCCTTACACAGAGAAACCCTGTCTCTATAAACCAAAAGAAAAAAGAAACATGAAATCCCTACTGTTGGACATAGTGACTTAAGGGTCACTAGATGACAAAGTCCATCCTCAGTGTCACTAAAACAAAGCACCCAGAGAGTTCTTCCCAGAAAGCTCTGAAATCACACAAATACAAACCCAACTCATTTCAGCTGACAGTCAGACATTTCAGAAGTGTCCCACTTCCTGCCTTACAGAAGAAGAAGGAGCTAAAGTGCAAATGTAAGGACAGCTATGAGACAGCGACACTTTCTCAGCTGTGGCCTTTCAAGATGAAGAGAGTCTTGGAAATGAAGTGACATATGCCCAGGTCATAGAGAACATCACTTCAGCCTGGCTGGGCCCTCTGGGACTTCTTCAGCATTCCCTCTTTGCTTCCAGGTTCAAGTCATGAGACAGAAGCATAATTGCAACAGAGAATGTTCTCAAAGTAACGTGACCAACTTGGCCTGTTATTGTCACAAAGTACAGTGTGGGTGCAATGCAAATGACCTCATGACTGGATGACTTGACATCTGCAAGGAGGTAAGCTACTGAAAGGTCACAGCCTGAACTGTGCCCATATTGTTCTCACTGCAGAGAGGACTCGTCTGAACAAAGGGCAATGAGAATGCAGGGCATGGCCGGGTGTGAGTGGCACTTGGTGCATTAGGCTCAGGCCAAGTCATTCATAAAGGCTTCACCACTGCTCTTGGAATGCTGCAGCTCAATAAGTCCCCTCTAGGAAAGAAGCCTTCATCTGGACAGAAGGAATAGCTCTTTAAACACACCGGTGTGCTTTAGAGCACATAGGGATCTGCTGGTATCTTCTGCCAACAGAGAAAGATGAAATTCCTACTGAACTGGACGATCACCAAACTCTTCTGTCCTACACTAAGCATTCACCACTGTGGACAAATGCTACACCATCTAAACCAGTCACAATCTTAATTCAGCCCACGGGGAAACTCAGTTGCCTTTGAGACACCTGGGACAAATGTCTTGGAACAAGAGTAGGGGATGAGAGGTTTCTCATGTAGGATCATTATGGATGCTTGGTTACCATTCACATGATGTAGAGCAACGTGGATGTCTAAGCCCTGGTCTTTTTCTTCCATCCCATACCTACTATTCTCAGCAGCCTGTTTTCTTGCAGAAAAGAAAGAGAACAAATCCCAATTGTCCTTAGAAAAAAAAGCATTTTTTATAAACACTGAACGGCATGAAGTTGGAAAGGATGGGAACAAAGGTTGGAGCAAGGCTGTAGCCATCCCTCTCTCTTGCCAACAAGTGTTGTGATGTCCCAGATACATAAAATAAAGAGGCTTAACTTGGGTTATCCCAACAGGGTCAGATGGAACAGAGATATGATGACTCCAGAGGCATAATTTCCATGACCACAGTAAAGGAAGGTAAGGAGGAGTCAATCTTGTCAGTGACACTAGTATAACCACCTTCTCTAGTCTGATTTCTGTTGCTGTGATAAACACTGTGGCCAAAACACTGTGGCTTTCACTTCCAGGTCACAAGCCATCATTGAGGGAAGTCAGGGCAGGAATTAAAGCAGAAACCATGGAGGATGCTGCTCAGTGGCTTGTTTCTTGGCTTGTGCTCAGGTAGTTGTTTTCTTGTACAGTCTAGGACCACCTGCCTAGGGATGGTGCTGCCCACAGTGGGCTGGGTCTTTCCACAGATAGAGGATTGCTGAACCTCCCACCACCACCACCCCTTTTCTGGAGGCTTTACTCTTTGCTATTCTCTATGAAGCTAAGAATGTTCCACGTCAATCTTATTTAGAAAAGAACCTTCAGAAATTTCCACAAGGCTATGAATTGCCAGGATGCTAAGCCCTGCAGCCCTCTGACTGCAAGCTATGATTGCTGAATAGTCCATAGTATACTCTTCCTATAATAGCCTAAATTCTCTGAAGACAAGAGACACATGATAACATGGGCTAATAAATACCTATTTGCTGCCGATAAATTACTGAAGAGTGAGTGGGGTAGTGAGAAAACGCCCCAAGGCTCCTTAGAATGTTCTGTTTAGTCGTCTCTATTTTTTACTACATTGCTCGTGTCCCATTGGAAGGTACCTTGCCTTGCTCAATCATAAACAGTCCCCACAAAACGAAAGCTTCTGAAACAGAATGCAATCGGCAAGTCAAAAGGAAATGACTAAGTGTGCTTTAGGGTGTAGACTTACGGAGGTCTCCGAACTCTCCCACATGTGAGATATCCTGTAGCCCACCAGTTCCCCATCCTGCCGCTTAATTGGAGGCTTCATCCATTTGATGTCCACGCTGTTGGCAGATTCGTTCAGAAACACAGTGACATTTAAAGGTGCTACAGATGGAGCTACAAAAGAAAGAGAGGAAGATGAAGAGCTACCAGGAAATACCACATAGGTTTATTTTCTTCTTGGTTATCGAGTGTTTGCGTTTCAAATGTTCTATGAAAGACCCAGACTTACAATACATTTTTATCCATTTTTTTTTCAATTAAGGACTATCGAAATGCCACAAGAGTTTTGTGTACCCATTTTACATTGTGATGGGTTTAAAAACAGAGCTTCATGCACATAGGGCAAGCACCTCATCAGCTAAGCTGCATCCCTGGCTGTTGTGTTAAATTTTTACAAGAGTTTTGGGATGCTAACTCCTCAAGATTCATTTGCTATTTTAGCAATGTTATAAACACCCAGGGTAGTCTGGGAAGGAGGAGGCTGTTGCTCATGGGTTCTTCCCGTAGACAGCTGGGCCATTGGAAATGAAGAGGGCTGAATGAAGACAAACTTTGTGGCTCTGGGATGGAAAGTCAGGGAATGCTGGTGAGTTCAGGGGCAGGTTACTGGTCTGCACAGAGATACCCAGTTAGTAAGTCTGAAGTGACTGTATAGTCATCTCTCAGTATCTTCAAGTGATCCCTATAGGTACTGGAGCTTCCAGGTGTCACAGACCTATGTGCCCCCGCCTGCTTTAAGTCATCTTTGGATTATTTATAAAACCTAACACAATGCAAATGTTATAAAAGTATCTCTTATATGTTGGGCAGCAGTGGCTCACGAGGCAGGCAGTGGCAGGTGGATCTCTGAGTTTGAGGCCAGCCTAGTCTACAGAGTGAGTTCTAGGACAGCCAGGTCTGTCCTAGAGAAACGCTACCTTGAAACAAAACAAAACAAAGAAGCTGTTATACTTCATTGTTTAGAGAATGATGACAAGGGGGATAAAGCCCTTCCATTTTCAGTATGGATGCAACTGATTTTCAAATGGTTTTCATCCTCAGCTTCATGAATTTTGAGGACGCTGGGCCTGCAGATAAACAGAGCCAAGTATGTGTGGTGTGTGCACACAAACAGTAATTTAGGAAACAAGACTACTATGACAATCCTTTAAGACTGAGGATCTCAGTAGGTAAACCAGACTGGCCTCAAACTCACCAAGATACACCTGCCTCTGTCTTCCGAATCCTGGGATTAAAATCATGCACCACCATAGTGCTACCACACCTGACTTTTTGACTAAGTATTTCATTTCCAACAATTTAATCTACATAAGGAATTGCACTCATCATAACATCAAAAAAGGAGTAAATGCAGTACTGAGGTGCTGTGGGTTATGTTCATTGTTAATAAAACGCTGACTGATAGCCAGACAAAAAGTATAGGCGGAGCAAACAGACTAAGGATGCTGGAGGAAAGAAGGGTGGAGTCAGGGAGATGCCAGTCAGCTGCCGGGGGAACAAGACATGCTAGAGGACAGGTAAAGCCACAAACCACATGGCAAAATGTAGCTTAATAGAAATGGGTTAAATATGAGAGCTAGTTAGTAATAAGCCTGGGCTATCAGCCAAGTATTTACAATTAATATAAGCCTCTGTGTGGGAGTGGCTCCTGGGGCGGGAAAACTTTGTCTATACTCAGGCAGCAATTATAACATAAACTTGAATACATTTCCCAGTGGAAAAGTTATTATGTGGCTACTGAAGGAGTTAGGTACACTAAGTATAGTGATATGAAGAAACTCAACAACAATAGCAAAAAAAAAAAAAAACAAAACAAAAAAACAACATTATAACAATGGGATCCAGGAAATGGCTAAACAGTATGTATTAATCCATTTTAAAATGTGTGTATATGGTACATATGCACGTGTGTGTGTGTGTGTGTGTGTGTGTGTGTGTGTGTGTGTGTGCGCGCACATATGTGTATGCATATGGAGGCTAGAGGTCAACTTGGGTGTCATCTTTTAGGAGCTGCCCATCTTGCATTTTTCTGTTTGTTTTGAGACAGGATCTTTCACTAGGACTTGGGGTTTGACAATTAGTCTAGGCTGGATGGCCAAGCCCAGGGATCAGCTTGTTTCTGCTTCCTGAGTGCCAGGATTATATGTGCACATCACCATGTTTACCTTGTCATGTGAGTGCTAGGGACTGAACACAGCAAACTCTACCAATAGAGCTATCTTACCAACTCCCATATTAATCTGTTTTACAAATTTTAAAAAAATCACGTTTTATGTATGGAATAAATAACATCAATATGAATAGTATATACTGAACCATTGCCTGTAATTGTAGAGACTAAATTATATATTATATATTAAATTATATATATTTTGAAGGGAAAATAATAACAAAATAAGATATCCTGACCCGACCTTCTTCATTTCTGCTGCATCCTCAGGCAGGACTCTTCCTTCTTTCTTTTCCCCTTCCTGAGACAGGGTTTCTCTGTGTAGTCCTGGCTGTCCTTGAACCTGCTTCTGCTTCTCAAATGCTGGGATTGAAGGCATGTGCCACCACTGCCAGGCATGGACTCTTGAAGTCTTAGCAAATGCCATCTAGCTAAGACTCTGCCAGTGAAATCACTTACACACTTTCAGATCTGCTGTAGAATTTGTGAGTAAGTATAGGCAATGAAGCAGGTCTTTCTGTCTGTCTCTTCTGAAATCACTTTCAATGATCCACTGCCCAGGGGTGGGGGTGGGGTTAAAAGATATAAACTCACAAGGCAAAAGATATCAACCACAGAGATGTGAACACTGAAAAAGAGATAGCCGATTTCCCACTAAGAACCATAGAGAAGTTCAGAGGTTGAGGGCCCAGGCACTAAATGAGGCTAAGATTCACAAGCCTTTGAATATGAAGTGGATCGTCCTTGAGGTACCTCTGCCCCATTCCTCAACACTTGGCAAATTCTTCCCCAGATATCCACAGGAGACAAGGTGGTTTATTCTGAGTTGAAAGCTGTAGGCATTAGGGCACAAATGCATTAGAGATATGGCAAGAAGCCTGACTGAAGACCAGAGGAGGAAGTACAAATTTGTTCCCCATGGGAAGAGGATTCTTCTGCCACCTTGACCTATTTCTTACATCAGTACCATGCAAGACATTAGACTTCTCTTCTTTTGGATGTATTTGTTGAGGAAAGAAAAGCAAGAGAAATCTGAAACAGACCCTTGGGCCATCATCCAATCAACAGACAGTGAAGCCTGTAAGTCCCACCCACGTGAAGCCTCACCCACCCAAAGTCCCACCCACATTCACAGAGTTCTATTCAAACTGTGGCTCTTCACTCTTCAGAGAGGAAAGACAGGTCATCAGGAACATCAGGGAACAAATGCACACAGGACAGTCTGCCCCTCACCCCAGGGTGATGGGGTGGAAGGGTGAGGGTTGGAGGTAGGGAATGGGGGTGGGGCAGGGAACATTTGTTGGCCACCAAGTGAATGGAAATTAAAACAAAACAAAACAGTAATTAATATGTACAAAGAGAAGCAAAGGAAACTAAAGGAAAAGTAGCCAATGAAAAAGAAAACTTGAATTTAGAAACATGATTAGCAAAATAATATTTAATAAAAGAACTGGGAAAAATATAAATACTCAAGAAGTTAGACTAAAAAGGCAAAAAAATATATGTCTTTTAGAGAAAGAAAATCATGAAAGGAATCAAAGAAGTTCCTGAAATGTCTCAAGGAAAACAAACAAAGCAGAAACATTCAAAAGAAAAATATGCAAGTGAAAGCTTAAGGCTGGAGGACTTGGCCTTCTAGACTAAAGGGTCACTAAAAACCCACAGTGATGTCTGACACACATTCACAGCCTATCACAGCACCAAGACCAAAGAAAAAAAGACCTTCAAAAAAAAAAAAAAAAAAAAAAAAAAAAAAAAAAACAGTTCATGCAGAAAATCTCCCACAGCAACCAAAACAACAGACAGACAAACACCCTCAGAAATAAATAATATTTTGAGGAGGGGAAGGTCTCTAACTTAATAGTCTATATTCAAAAAAAAGACTAACCAAGTACAAGGCATAGAAGTCCTTGCAGTTTTGTTACCTCTGCAGGTACTCTCTTGGGAAGCTACTTAAGAATGTGTTCAGCCCAGTGAGATGGTTCACTTCAGCACATAAAGATGCTCTCTGTAATAAGTAAAGATGCTCTTGGCCAAGCCTGATGACCTGAACTTAACCCTCAGAACCCACTGGAAGGAACAAACTTACTCCTGCAAGTTGTCTTCTGACCTCAACACATATGCACAGGTCTGCACACACACACACACACACACACACACACACACACACACACACACACAAACAAATAAATAAATGAGTGCCATGAAAATTGGGGTGATGACTCCAAGGCATCTGAGGTCAGGCCTTACATAAGGCTAAGGACAGTGCTAACTCCCATCAATCAGACTGGAAACCCTTATGACTCAAGGTCATTGGCCAGATCACACAGAATGGTCTTGTCTCCACAGTAGTTAATAACATTGCTATTCTGAGCAATGCTGTGGTGATAGGGGATGACCTTCTGTATATATGTTTCTCTTATTGGTGGATGATTAAAACACTGTTTGGCTAATAGAGGCAGGAAGATATGCTGGACTAGGAGAGAATTCTGGGAAAGGTAGGCAGAAAGAGGCCGTGAGAGATGCCATGTAGTGGAGGAAGGAGTAACAGGTCCAGACCCTTCTTCGGTAAGTTAAGACCTCATGGGAATACTTAGGTTAATAGAAATAGCTTAATAATTAAGACAAAGCTAGCCAATAAGAAGGCCTAGCCACAGCCAACAGTTTAATAATTAATATAGCATCTTTGTGTGTTCATTTGGGGTTGAAGCAGAGGGACCTGGCAGGAAAGAAATACTGGCAACACTGTGGTCTTGTTCAACAAATCTTAAAAGCAATACCCAACCAGAAATTGTTTCCCATTGGCTCACCTGTCTCCTAAAATAAAGATTACTATTTAGAGGAAATTCTTCCAACAAGATAGAATTCCCATGGTACTACCAAACTGTGCTAGTCATGAAAAGATTATCCATACTAGGTGTCCTAGCTAGGGTTATTATTGCTGTGAGGAAGCATCATAACCAAAAGTAAGTTGGGGAGGAAAGGGTTTTATTTGGTTTACACTTCCATATCATAGTCCATCATTGAAGGAAGTCAGGACAGGAACTCAAACAAGGTTGCGAGAGACCTGGTGGCAGGACCTAAAGCAGAGCCATGAAGGAATGCTACTTACTGGCTTGCTCATCATGGCTTGCTCAGCCTGCTTTCTTATGGAACCCATTGATCACCAATTAAGAAAATGCCCTGCAGGCTTGCCTACAGCCTGATCTTATGGGGGTGTTTTCTTAATTGATGGTTCCTCCCCTTAGATGACTTTATCAAATTGACATGAAACTAGCCAGTACACTACGATACTAAGAAACCACCCCAGATAGATATTAGAATAATCAATTATCCTAACTATATTGTATGTGATCTAAAAGTTTATGTGGTGATATATTGTTTATGATTTAATAACACTACTGGAGATCAAAATGCAAAGCCAGCCATAGTCACAGAGTCAGCCAATGGTGACACACATCTTTAATCCCAGCAGCCACACTAGCTAGTCATAGAGACCAGGCAGTGGTGGTTCAAGGCCACACTGAGCTGCTACATGAAATCGATCCACTCTAAAAAAGAAACAGCTCACACAAAGGTGATCCTAGCACTTGGGATCACACACCTTTAATCCCAGGACTAGGAAGGTGGAGACAGGAATGATATGGCTGCAGGTAGAAATGAATATAAGGCATAATGTGGGAGGAGACAGAAACTCAGGATTGCCGTCTGAGGCTTGGTGGAGAGCAGTGCAGTCAGCATTGTACTCTGAGGACTCATGGAGACAGAATCATCCATTTCATTCTGAGGTAGAGATAAGAGCTAGTGGCCTGGCTGCTTTGCTTTTCTGATCTTTATCTTGAACCCCAATATCAGCTTCTCCTGGGTTTTTATTATTCGTGTTACAAGTTTAGGCATGAAATACATAAGAAGAAGAAAAGAATCACAGCATTAGAGATAAAGACTAGTTAGGATTATAACAGGTTAGGTAAGATTACTAAGAACAAAATAAGATTATTAAGAACAAGGTTAAGATTACTGATGAGGAGAGAAAAGGGGGAGGTATTAGCAGAGCATTATTGAATTATGGGAATTCTAATGGTCTGTTGTGCACATAGCTGAAATCCTTAACAAAGAGGAGAGGTAAAAAGTGCAAAAATGTATGAGGAGTGGCAACGTGTAGCTCAGTGATAGAGTGTTGTATAATACATAACATGTCCTAGATTCGATCTCCAATACTGTGAGGGCAAGAAGGTAGCCCGGATTTTCTCAAATGTGATACAAACTATAAACACAAGATGCAAGAAGTCCAGTGACCTTCAAGCACAAAGAATATCAGTCAAATGAAGCATAATTGTTAAATTGTTCAAAATCAGCACTAAGGGGAGAAATGGAAACAAATACATCTTACACAAGTGAAAACCAAAATCAAGTTTACCATCAGTGTTACATGGGAAAGGAAAGCGAGAAAGGAAACAGTGGACCATGATATTACACTAAAAGGAAAAACAGGAACTCTCCTCCCTGCCTCTTAAAAAACAAACAAACAAACAAAAAAAAAAAAAAACCTAAAAACTATTTACTCTTTTGCTACTATAATAAATATCACCACCAAAGCAACTTGGCAGAGGGAAGGGTTTCTCGTATCTTACAATTTCAGGTCTCAAACCGTTGTAGAGGGACATGAAGGTAGGAACTTATAGCAGGTACCTCCAGTAGAAACCATGGAGGAATGAACCACTGCTTGCTGCTTTGATCTCTGGCTAAGGCAGGAGGGTCTCTAAGAGTTCGAGGCCAGCCTGGACTACCTAACAAGTTCAAGGCCAGCCAAGACCACATAGTGAGACCAAGTCTCAAACAAACAAACAACCTAACTAGGATACCCTCCAGACAGCTGTGAAGTCAGAATTTTATTTAACTAAAAAATGACATTTTCAAACTGGGTGTGGAGGTGCACATCTTTAATCCCAGCATTCAGGAGGCAGAGGCAGGTGGATCTCTGTGAGTTCAAGGCCAGCCTGGTTCACAAAGCAAGTTCCAGGAAATTGAGGACTATTACACAGAGAAACCCTGCCTTGAAAAACAAAACAAGAAAGACCCCCACCTTCCCACCACCCTTGGGTTGCCTGCTATAAATAATAACTTTGTGCATTACATGTTAATTGAAAATACTACTGGCTCTAAGAATGGTGCCATTAGCAAGGCAGGAGTGGCACACACCTTTAATCCCAGCATTTGGGAGGCAGAGGCAGGTGGATCTCAGTGAGTTCGAGGCCAGCCTGGTCTACAGAGTGAGTTCTAGGATAACCAAGACTGTTACACAGAGAAACCCTGTCTCAAAAAAAAAAAAAAAAAAAAAAGTGCCACCATCTTCCCAAGTAAAATAAATTTTTATACACACACACACAGAACAGATAAGGCTTTTTTTTCCCTAAGCCTCTTAAATTACTAAGAAACTACTTTCTTTCCTATCGTATTGGCCACCCCACTAAATGCACCAAACAGAGTGTACATAACATCAGCTCCTGGGAAAAGCTTTCCTGATCACACATCATTGGGGGGGGGGGGAAATGTTCACTGTGTATCTCAGAAATTACCTCCTTCTGTTGTGCTGGCCAGAATCCAAGGGCTTACTGCAGACCAGCCAATTTCGTTCCCACAGGACACACCGATGCTGTAATTAGCCAGAGCTTGCAGCTGCTGGATTTCATACAGATGTGGCGAAGCTGAGGTATTAAAAATCATGACTGAGCCATTACTCAGCAAGCCGGCTTCCTTGACCTGAATGAACAGTACAGATGTGGACCGGCATTAGTAAGGTGGGGGGAATGTCAGACTCGGGCACACAAGTGTTGGATGCACGTGGGACTTCCTCTGTGCTGGAGGAAGGACATGTTTTCATTCAGGACACACACACACAATTTCCCATCAGCATTACTTGTGTTACTCATGTCACTCCGGCAACAAGTGAAGCCCTCAGGAAAATGCCTACACTGTGCAGTTTCACTGTGGCTGGCAACAGATAGATAGTTACTGCGATAATTACATTATTAATACATTAATAATTATAACTCAACACTGTACTCAAATGGAAAATTGCCCCTCTCCTCCCAGACCCACTTGAATTCTCAATCTATTCTTTTGTTTCATAGTCTCTGGCCCTTTAAATAATTTCCAGATTTCATTTTAGACGATGGATTTCTTGACCTTTGTTATCATTAGTTTTATGATAACATGAAAAGCGAGCACAAACTATCATTCCAGCATACTTTTTAGTACTTCCTAAGGAGTGACATGCTTGTGTTTTTTTCAGAACATGTATCACTCACCACATACATCCGACACTATACCAATGGCTTTGCTGAGATATGGCTCTTCTTATGTACCTTATCATGATTTGGGGCTGGAGGGATGGCTCAGCAGTTAAGATCATTCACTGGCTGCTCTTTCAGAAGACCTATGTTCAATTCGCAGCACCCATGTGCTTGTGAGCTAGCAGAGGTGGGTTCTGGGAAATGAATTAAAGGCCTCTGAAAGAGCAGGAAGCATTCTTAATCACTGAGCAATCTCTCCAGTCCCCTTTTAAAGCTTTTTATTAGCATATGCTAATTATACATAATAATGGGTTTCATTATAACATTTTCAGACATGTCTATGTGTTTTGATTATATTCAATCCCCATTACATTCTCTTGTTCCCTCCACCCCCTTCCCTTCCTCATTCTGCTCTCCCTTCTGTTATGCCTTTTTTTTTTTTTTTTTTTTTTTTTTTTGGTTTTTCAAGACAGGGTTTCTCTGTAGCTTTGGAGCCTGCCCTGGAACTCATTCTGTAGACAAGGTTGGCCTCGAACTCACAGAGATCTGCCTGCCTCTGCTGGGATTAAAGGCTTGTGCCAACACCATCCAGCCTGTTATGTCTTTTTCTTTTTTTCTTTTATGTGTACTAATGTTTTGCCGGCATGGATGTATGGATGTGTGTGCACCATACACAAGGCAGCGGTCAGAAAAAGGCACCATATCCTCTGGAACTAGGGTTTCAAGCAGTTCTGAGCCTTCATGCGGGTATTGGGACCCCAACCTGGCTCACAGCAAAAATAAATAATGTTCTGAGCTATCATACAGCACTGTCATGGCTTTTTCTTTTCTTCTTTCTTCTTTCTTTCTTTTTTTTTAAATATGTGTGTGAAATGATTCAATGATTGTTTACAGGAACATGGGTGAGGGGCTAGTTACAGAGCCATGAGCACCTTACCAGTGGCTACACTACTGGAAAAAGAGTCCCTCCCTCCCCAGGCAATCAACTACTTACATAGCCTCAAGGAGGAAGCTGCTCCCTGTTAGCAATTATTAACTGCCTATCTATTCTCAGGAAGGAAGAAGGACTTGTAAGCACCTCCCCACTCCATGACAAAATGTTGCTGGGCCAGGGTTTGTGCAGGTCTTATGTAGGGGACCATAGCTACAGAATTAGAGTGCAATGACCTTATCATGTTGAGAGAACCACTGAACCACATTTTAAATTTCCAACATTATGGCGAAGTGGTGGTAGTGGTTCACACCTTTAATCCCAGCACTGGAGAGGCAGAGACAGTCAGATCTCTGTGAGTTCGAGGCCAGCCTGGTCTGCAGGGCAAGTTCCAGGACAGGCTCCAAAGCTACACAGGGAAATCCTGTCTCAAAAAACAAAACAAAACAAACAAACAAAAAAACCTTTTCAGCATTATGCCCTGTTCCAGGTAGGACCTTCTGTATTAGCCAGGGTTCTTAAGAAGAACAGGACTGACAGAATATACGTAAAGGAATTTTATCAGAATGGCTTACAGGTGGTAGTCTAGATAGTCCAACAATGGCTGTCTACCAATGGAAGGTCCAAGAATCCAGTAATAATTCACTTCATGAGGCTGGATGTCTCATCCAGCTTTCAGTATATGCTAGAATCCAAAAGAAGTAGACTCCAATGCCAGTGAAGGCTTGGACTTACAGGTGAGATTGAGAGCAAGGAGGCAGAGAAAACTTCCTTCTCCCACGCCCTAGATATGGGGGTGGCCCAGATTAAAGGTGGGTCTTACCACCTCAAAAGATCCGCACTAAAAGTGGGTCTTCCCACTTCAAATGATTTAATTAGAAAAAGACCCTGCCCAGCTGTTTGGGTTCAATTAATTCCAGATATGGTCAAGCTGACAACCAAGAATATCATCACAACTCTCTTTTTTTTGCTATTTTTAAAATTTTCTCCCCACTCCCCTTCCCTCCTCCCCTTTCTCCTTTCATTCTCCTCCTGCCCCTCACACTCCCAATTTACTCAGGAGATCGTGTCTTTATCCCCTTCCTAGGTGGATCCATGTATGTCTCTCTTAGAGTCCTCTTTGTCACCTACGTTCTTTGGGGTTGTGGCCTGTAGGCTGGTTGTCCCTTGCTTTATGTCTAATATCCACTTATGAGTGAGTACATATTATATTTGTCTGTCTGGGTCTGGGTTACCTCACTCGGGGCTTTTTTTTTTTTTTCCTAGTTCTGTCTATTTGCCTGCAAATTTCAAAATGCCATTTTTTTTTTAACTGCTGAATAGTATTCCATTGTGTAAATTGTACCAGATTTTATTTATCCATTCTTCAGTGAGGGGCACCTAGGTTGATTCCAGGTTCCGGCTTTTACAAATAATGCTGCTATGAACATAGTTGGGCAAATGTCCTTGTGGTGTGAATGTGCATCCTTTGGGTCTATTCCCAAAAGTGGTATTGTTGGATCTTGAGGTAGACTGATTCCCAATTTTATGAGAAACCACCATACTGATTTCCAAAGTGGTTGTACCATGGAGGAGTCAGAGTTTTTGATCTTGGCCATTTTGACAGGTATAAGATGGTATCTCGGAAACGTTTTGATTTCATTTCTCTGATGACTCAGGATGTTGAGCATTTCCTTAAGTGTCTTTCAGTCATTTGAGATTCCTCTGTTGAGAGGTCTCTGTTTAGATCTGTCCCCCATTTTTTTTTAATTGGATTATTTGGTCTTCTGATGTCTACTTTCTTGAGTTCTTTGTATATTCTGGAGATGGTCCTCTGTCAGATGTGGGGTTGGTGAAGACCCTTTCCCTTTCTGTAGGGAGCTGTTTTTGCCTTGTTGACAGTGTCCTTTGCAACTTTACAGACACTGCTCAGTTTCAGGAGTTCCCATGTTTTCAATGTTGCTCTCAGGTCACACCCTCTTTCTGTCTTCTTGTTTCTTCCCAGTTGGAAACCCTGGTCACGCTCGCTGACTTCCGAAATAGTAAGTAGGTCTTGAAGAAAGTCAAAGTCTTCCTCAAGAGACTCAAGATTCTGAGGCAATTGGAAAATTCTTGCAGCAGTTTACATTTAGGAGGAAACTGAGGTTTTGAGGTGCAGACTATGTTGCGGGAAGATGCTGTCACCCTTGATTTGCTGCATTCCTTTCCTTCTGGGCAAGGCCAGTTCCATAAACTTACACTCTTCCAGCTTTTTCTATGTCTCCAATCTCGTTCTCAGGCTGTTTGATGGAAGGATACACATCTACAAACACGGCCTCAGGAACCCCCAGAGCCTCAGTCTGTCCCAGCCCAGAGCCTCGGTCTGTCCCAGCCACACTGGTTTCCATGTCACACCTGCCTTAGTGTGTCATGTTGACAAAGCTAGTGTACAACTGCTGGCTTTGCTTTCTTTTAAAGGTTTGTGATCTGTTGGGTTTTGGTCAGAGTTGGGGGCTGAACTGCAGGCCTACGCATGCACTAGGCAATTGCCTGCTTTGAGCTACATACACCTCCGAGCCTCCTCAACGTTTCTATTTTGAGAGTCTTAATAAGTAACCCCAACCGTGAGCAAACTTGCATTCATTCCCCCTTCTCAGTCTCCAAGTAGGTTAGAGTGCACTGGAACTAGCAGTCGCCATGCCCAGCAAAAATCTGTCTGCTGTGGAATAATCCTTCTGTACGCTGTGCAAATATATGTCGCTGTGATTGGTTTAGCAAACAAGCTGACTGGCCAATAGCTGAACAGAATAAAGTTAGGCAGGACAGCCAAACTGAGAACGCTGGGATGAGGGAGGGCGGCATGAGAAGGCCGCCAGCCACCGAAGAGCAGGACGTGTAGAAAATGAGGTAATAAGCCACGAGCCATGTGCAAAGCACAGATAAGAAACATGGATTAATTTAAATGTAAGACTTAGGTAGTGACAAGCCTGAGCTATCGGCCAAGTATCTGCAATTAATATTAAGTCTCCAAGTCAGTTATTTGGGAGCAGGCAATAGGGACAGGAGAACTCCACCTGCATCTTATTCTGCAACATGAAGATCCCTGTGCTTGCCTTGAGTTGCTTTAGGAGTGTTGAGTAGTCCTTTGTGCCTATCTTTCTCCACTCTAATAGAGACTCAACCTCAAGAGCCTGCACAGTTGACATATGTTTGGGGGGAAGCTGGGAAACACAGGAAAGGATGGTTTCTATCTCATCCAGTACACCTTTCTCTAAGGTCCTTAAAATGTTTATTTCCTCATCTTTACCACCCTACCCCCCCAAAAAAAACAAAAACAAAAACAAAAAACCTCCATAGTTGCCTCCACAACTGCCCACCAGATGTATGTTCACAGAGCAAGGGAATCTCAGCAAAAATCTAGTCCTTGGCCAGACTCCCCCCTGTCCCCTCACACATTCCTCCTCTTGGGAATGGGTTATGGGGGGGGAGGGTTGGAAATGGTTTCTCTAGTGCATGTATGTATAAAATAAAATAACAGACATAACAGTAGGGGGTAAAACAGAAGCAACCAAAAGCAATTTGGAGGAAAAAAATCTATAATACAAAAAAATGAATTCTCCTTAATAAGGGAGGTGCAGTTAAGGTCATGGACATCGTGTTGTTATGTCAGGATAGATGTGTTTGCAGCTGAGCACAAAGACCATAAATAGACTTTCTGGAACACTTTGTAATCCCCTGGGGGATACCATGAGGGTGGTGTGGAACCCAAGTTCCACCTCTGACTCAGACCTTATGGGTGACAGGAAGGTACCAGCTGGCCTGAGAAGCCACCACTTCAAGAAAAAGGGGCCATGTGCTTATCTTGGGGGTGGCTTGTTGGCAGAAATTACTTTTTGTTCTTTCATATTAAACTATGTACTGACTTCCTGGTGACCGACTACTAATACTAAGGTGGAGAAAACCTTTGGCTCTCTGCCCCAATCCCATTTCCGGAACCCTGTGTGAGCATTTACAGGCAGGTTTTTGGGAAAGTAGAGAATTTCTAAAATTGTCCTCCTCTGTGGACCCTGGGGTAAAGAAAAGAGGGCGTAAAATGGCAAGAAGCATGTGAAGGAGTTAAAAATAGAAATGGAGCAAAGATAGAAACCACAGTCAGGATCAAAGGAAGTGAAAGGGTGTGTCCCAATAATGTGCAACCCAAATGCCATCCACTTGAGTTACCAAGTCAAAGTTTAAAATGGTGATGAACTACAATCCTTATTTGGTCCTTTCAGGAAGGGGACACCCTGCATACTTATGGGAGATGTCATTCTGTAAATATGTTTCTCTTATTGGTTAATGAATAAAGCACTGTTGGCCAATAGGAAGGCAAGATAGGTGGGATTAGGAGATAAGGAGGATTCTGGGAGATGTAGAAGGAAAGTCAAGATGTAGAGATTTGAGAAAGAAGAGGTCTGGACCCTCTCTCCAGTAAGATAAGACCACGTGGAAACACTTAGATTGATAGAAATGGGTTAATATTTAAGACAGAGCTAGCCAATAAGAAATGCTAGTAACAGGCCAACAGCTTTATACCTAATAGAGCATCTGTATGTGTTATTTGGGGCTGATGCAGCTCTGGGAGCAGGCTGGCGGGAAAACTGTTCGTAACAGCATACAACTTCTAGACTCCTGGCAGGGCTTCCATAGGAAACAAATGGTACTCTATTAAGTATGAAGTTCAGAAAAATAAAAACCAGGTTTCACTATAGGCGAATATTAGGATGGCCTGTGTCATTAAACTGGCTTTCCTGTGTCATTTGCTCATCTAACGATTCCCCAGAGATGAAAGGGAGAAGGGAGGCTGAGCTAGATGGTGGCTTGAGTGTAGAATGACTTCATGTGGCACCACACGGTCCAAAGTGGGTGAGAGGAACCTATCATGTGTCTGCCCTGGGATGCTTTTTCATACAGACCACAACTATGCAAAGCCACAGCAAAGTGAGACAGAACAGTCAAGCTGGTCCTTGATTCTTCATCTACTAAAGTGACCTGGTGCTTTCAGACATCTGGCTGTCTCACCCCACCTAACATCTACCCTGAGACCCACTCTCTCAGCATGGTGATAGGAGTAGCAGTTCTCTCTCAAGTCTCCCTGAAGCTCGCCATTCTCATGAGAAAAGGTATACCACACCCTCTTCGGCTCCTCAGTTTAGCAACTTGAACTCAATGCCTTTCAGAAGGCGATCCGTAACTTGAGCTACATCTATAAGAATAAATATCAACACTCATTTCTCCACTATACTTTACAATAGGAGCCCTGAACTCACACAGATAAAAACTGACAGAATTAAAGGGAGCAAAGTTAAAAAATAAGACTTGAGACCCTGACCCCTCACTCACAGTTATGGATATTAAGGCTAGACAGAAGATCAACAGGCATACAAGACAAAGACAACGAACCCAAGTAGGCTGAGTTGTTCCACACAGAAGACTCCTGACAGCTGGTTTACACCATCTCCAGTCTTTGACAGTCTCCAAGGTGGGACACTTGCTGTGTCATTAAACAGGCCTTAATAGATTCTAAGTAACTGGAATCAGGCTAAGCATTTTCTAATGGAACATTAAAAACACACAAAGAGGTTGAGGAGATGGTTCCGTGGGTAAGATCATTCACTGCACAGGCTTGGACGCCCAACTTCAAGTCAGCAGAACCACTTAAGAGGCTCAATGCGACTGCACACAGACTCTTGTGGCCCCAGTGCCGTGGGAGTAGAGGCAGGAGGACCTCTGGGCCTTGCTGACTACCAGCCTCACTCCAGGTTTCAGTGAGAGATGCTGTCTTGAAAGAATAAGCGGGAAGTGATAGGACAGGACACCAGACAGCCTCCTCTGGCCTCCACACATGCAAGGGTGCATGTATCTGCATACATACATGTGTGTACACCACAAAACACATAAAAGGATAATCAAAAACATTAGAAGTGTGGGTTTTAAACACATCCCTAAATAATCAAAAGAAATCACAAGGAAAAAGACAAAACAAAAACAAGCAAGAGAACCTTTGCGATGAATGAAAAACACAACAAAACAAAAATCTTGTGGGGCTACAGCTAAAGCCATGCTTACAGGGAGATGGACTCCACAGATGTGCAGCACAAATGCCCATATTAAATTCTTCTCAGGCTTGGTGGCACATGCCTGCAATGCCCAGCGCTTTGGAAGCAGAAACAGGAAGAGCAAGAGTTCATGGTTATTTATGGCAATAGTGAGTTGAAGGCCAGTATAGATTACACGAGGCTGACTCTGTCTTTAAAAAAATCATTAATCAGTCAATAAGAGGATTTCCTGGTGAGAGATTATAGTCATAAGGGCTACCACTTACAGTTCTGGAGAGATTTACAAATAAAGTTGGGAAGGAATCAAGCAAGGCTGGGAGCTGTAGGTCAAAGACAGATACTATTTTAGAAATAATGCATGGTTTCATTTTCCAGAGAAGGGACACCTGTCAGATAAGAGTAGGAGGCACCAAGAGCAGAGAAATTAATTCCAGTTGGTATGCAAAACATCTGGTTATCAACACAAAATTCTCTGGAAGTCACTTCCCCTAAATTGTGTTAATTTAATGTGTTTGTCTTTTTAACATCTTATTTTATTATTGTTATTACTATTATTGGACACCTTGTATCATGATACACAAGTGGGAGTCAGAGGACAATTTTCAGAACTTAGTTCTTTCCTTCTACAGTGGATTCCAGGGATCAAACTCAGGTTGCCAGGTTTGTATGGCATCTCGCTGGCCTGGTTAATGAGGTTTTAATGAGAAAACCAGATATCCAGGAAACTAAGAATAATTCTGCCCCTGTGCATGACAAAGGACAAGGCAGGATGCACTCATATTGTCTGCAGACAGTCCCCAGGTGACCGGTAACTAGCTTCTACACACTGACCTGACTGTGGAGTTCATACTTCTTTCTAGCTCTGATGATCTTCATGGGCCTGAGTTCTGGTCCTGTCACTCACAGACGAGGTGAGTGTGCTGAGCCCACAGTGCTAGTGTTTTTTAAGCAAGAGATACAATACATATCCACAGAATGCCTTGGCTACGTTCAGTAAATAATAGTGTTATTGCCCATTTCCGTTTTCATGAAAGGAACACTCAAGAGCACAGCTTATATCATGACAAGCTATCGTTTAGGGAGACTCACTCATATTTCTCCCAGCTCTGTTTCATAGCAACTTTAGGTACTGTTAAACAGAGCTAAAGATTCTACAAGGCCAGCAATCCCCAGGTTTCCCCAAGGGACAGTGGCTAATGGGCTTCATTATCAGCACACATGACCCACCTTGGGCTGGTACAATTGTCCTTCATAACACCAGCCCAGAAAGGGCATACTGAAGGTGTGCAGCTGGCCCATGATCACAAATCAGCTCTCATTCAGGGAAAATTTTTGTGGTTATGAAGAATTATCTATGGCCTCATGACCTTTGTCCTTGGAAATATGTTTCTCTCTGGGTCCTGGGACCTAAAGCGGCATTGTGGCCAGCACGTCAGAAACAGCTTATGATAGTCAAGACTGGGTAGGGGAGTGGAGGGGCTGTGAACAGAAGTGGAGGAATACCTTCCATGCCTACCCTGGGGAAGAGGAAGAAAAGCCAGAGAACATCACACAGAACCACACAACCCCTTCCCTCTCCATTCTGGAGATCTACCTGAATGCTGCAGTTCTGAAATGGGGAGTATCCATCAAAACCTGGGACCCAGGAGACCAGGATGCTGTGTGCTGTGCTGCTAAGGATGTGGACTTCAGTTGGTGGAGAGGGGATTGCTATGGAAAAACAGAGACACACACATGCAATCACAATGACAAACCACAGGGGCCACAAAGTATCAAACTAGCAGTTCTAAACCTGAGGGTCTCAAACCACCCTTTCACAGGGTCATTTAAGACCATCAGAAAACACAGATATTTACATTATGATTCATAACAGTAGCGAAATTATAGTTATGAAGTAGCAATGAAAATAATTTTATGGTTGGAGATCATCCTAACATGAGGAACTGTATTGAAGGGTCACAGCACTAGGAAGATTGAGAATCACTGGTTTAGACCAAAGTAGTCTTGGTTGCACTGATATAAGTTTTTAAATAAAGTCAGAAACACAAGTTTGGCCTCATTGCAAGGGAGACTGGGGAGAAGGACCAGAAGTTCAAGGTCATCTTGTCTTAAAATAAACACATAGAAATCCCACAAGCTTTGGAACCAGGATGGAATTTTTAAAGAAATTTTAGGCGAGATTCTGAATGAAGCATAATTTTTAACACTTCCCAGTTTATACATGTTTAAACTCTAAGTTTAAACCTTAGTAAAAGCTCTTTACAAGCCAACACCCACAAGTGGATTTCTGAGATTCCCAACATGCCTTTGAAAACTGTAATAGCGGAATTTGCAGAAAGGAAGGAAGTTATACACTTCCTCCAGGAGTCACTTTTAGTTTTTTTTTTTTTTTTTTTTTTTTTTTTTTTTTTTTTTTGCAATGAACTCTTACAAAATGCCATTTCATATCCTTCATCCAGTTCACTTACTGAAACCAAAATCAAACTTTTATGACTATAACTCCTTCCGGAGTTTTAAATGCCCTTCTCTGCATGCTCAACCTTTAACTTACTATTCAGATCTTGCACCTTTTCCTTGTGTTTCTTTGATTTCCCAAGGATAAGAGAACAGGAACATGAACCCAATATTTATTCTCCACTATCTAAGGATCAGATAGAACATAAAATGTGCTTGTGTTTCTGTGAGTAAGGATGATGATAAAAAGATAAGGCAGAATTTGCTTCCAATTTTCCTTTCCTCCAGGTTGTGGGTTTAATACCTGCTATTACACAGGAGTAGAAGGACAAGGTGATGAACTGTAATGTCTCTACTAACATCTGCCTTTCACTCTGTCAATCAGTTGTCCCCAGTGAGCTTGGTGAAACGCAAGCTCATGGGAGGTGAGATGGAGAGGGAGAGGAGACAGATGGGCATCCCTCTTGTTCTTTGCTCTCAACTCCCAGCTCTGTCTCCCTCTTGAAAGGCTTGGAGCAGGCTCATTTGGCCCAGTGCTCACATCAGGGTCCCTGGTGAGCCCATCTCTGGACTCTTCAAGGGTTAATGAGGACAAGCACGGGGTGGAAGTGGGAAAAGCGAGAAGTAAAGCTTCCAGCTTATTTTCCCCCGTGCTGAGCAGGGCTACACTAGCTAACGCTTAGCAATGATTTATGTGCCAAGTACTGCTATGAGTGCTTTACTTGTATTAAATAATCGAACCTCAAAATGGGTAGGTTGTGTAATTACTCCTCACCCCCTCCCAAACAGCACTGACACCAGAGAGAAGGGACTTGTCCACTGTTACAAAGAAGCAATGAGTACCCCAGACCCCAGGGGACGGTGGAGAGCCCTGGCCTTCCTGCTCACCTTTGATGTTGATCTGCACACCCTTGGACACCGTCAGGCCTTTGTCATTGTGGGCCTCACAGCTGAAGACCGCTGTCTCTGTCAGACCTGGGTTGGAATGACATTTGTAAGATTTGAAGGAGAGAAGGTTGTGCTTGAAATCTGTAGCTTTGCCATCTATTATTTCTTGGTTCATAGCTAAGTATATAAAATTAAATATAGCCTAAAATATAAAGTTAATCTAAAAACTGTGCTAGCTCTAGAAAAACAGTCCTGAGAAGAAACTACAGACACCCAGAGCAAGGTGGCCCTGGACCCTAAGGCAGCTGCTTTCACTCATTCTGTCTCTGAATGTCGAGGTAATGTCATTCAGACTTTTTTCTCTTCCTTTTTTAAGCGGGGTGAGGGTTTGAGTCATGGTCTCTCTATATAGTTATGGCTGTCCTGAAATTCATTCTATAGACCAGGCTGAACTCTGTAGACCAGCTTAAACTCACAGAGATTCACCTGCCTCTGTCTCCTGAGTGCTGAAATTAAAGGTGTGCACCACCACATCCAGCCAGAGTCTAGTTACAAACACAGCAAACATCACACAAGCCCACGCAAGCAATGATGGGGCTCATCAAAGAGATGCAGAAAAGAGTTTCCAAGAAAGTAATGTGGTGGTGAATTCCAACCTAATGCAATAAAGCTTCAAGGCATCTGTATTGGTAAAAATGACATTAAATAAACAGAAGATCACATACAAGTTTCCCACAAAAGCAAACTCCGATAGTCTGTGTAGATTCTCCTTCCTTGAGGAAATTGGTGGAGCATGGCTTGGGAAAGGTGAGGATGATGCTGGCGGATTCAGGACAGAGAAACTGACCACACCCATCCCTGCCAGAATGGTCAAGGCTCATGCCCTCAGTGACTGGTCATGTTGACATAATGTACCCTGGGATGATGGAAATAGCAACTTTACTTCTATGACATTCCTCTTGGAACACAAAAGCTTGTTCTGCTCATATGACAAAATAAATTATCAGACAGCCCAAGCTGTGGGGGCAGCCTACAAAACACCTGACCAGCAGTCCTCAAAATCACCCAGGCCAAAGAAAACAAGGAAAGTTTGACCACGAGGTGCCTAATCACACAGATACAGGTGACTAAGTGCAGTGGAGTGTGGTGTCCTGGATGGGATTCTGGGACAGAAAAGGGACAGGTGTTAAAATCTAATAAAATCTGAATGTTAGATAATAAAATTGTATTAGAATTGGGACATCAATGGCAACCATTCATCACACTAATGTAGAATGTTAATAACAGGGGGACATGCAGATGAGGTATACTGAGATTCTTTGTTCTATCGTAACAGTTTTCTTTAAATTTCATTTTTACTGTGTGTATATGTGTACAGGTGCATATCAGGGAACATATATGGAGGTTTGAGAATACTTTTAGGGGTTGGTTCACTTCTTCTACCTTATTGAAACAGAGTTTTGCTTGTTTCTGCCACTGTGCAGCCTACTCCTGGCTAGCTGGTTCATGGATTTCAGGCAATTCCCTGTCTAGTATCTCATCCTACTCAAGGAGTGCTGGGATTACACATGCGCACTGTGCAATTGCTCCAGCTTTTCCTGGATTACACACGCATGCTGTGCCGTTGATTCAGCCTTTTCTGGATTACACATTCGTGCTATGCTGTTGATTCAGCCTTTTCTGGAGAGTCTGGGAAGTATGGAACTCAGGTTTTCAGCCTTCTGAAGTTAGTGCTTCACTTACTGACCACCCCCAGCGCAATTTCCACAGTGTTACTGAAAAATCTAAACCTACTTCAAAATTTAAAAGTGTTTTTAAAACAAAACACAAACAAACTTATATGCACTCTGTAGCTAGTCTAGAAACTTCTATATCTCTAGGACACAAAAGCAGTATTATAAACTGAAGATAGATGATACATTTTTAAAAATATGTCTGAACTTGCTTTTCCCTAAAAAGCTCATTTTGGGTACTGGAGATGTCTTGGTGGTTAGAGCAAGCATTGCTCTTGCAGATGACCAGAGTTTGGTTCCCAGCACCCATGTCAGGCAGCCCACAACTGCCTGCAACTTCAGTTTTAGAAGAATCTTTAGCTTCTTCAGGCATTTGGATCTCTTGTGCTCACAAACACATATACTCACATATAGCCATACGCATAATTAAAAACAAATAAACATTTAGTTTTCTTTGTTCTACTGGCATAGGGAATTTTCCATTCTGGTATTTGAAAACTCTCAGTTTGTCACTAATGAACTGAGCTTGAAAAATGAAAGGGAGGAAAAAAAAACTGTCAAAGGAGAGGCATCAGTTACTAAGCCTAGAAAAGTTGTCATACCCATTTGGCCAGTACCATGTCAGGAGTAGAGCCAAGTGGTCACTGTGTGGCAGAGGGGTATGTCTGGAGAAGTTGTAAGGGGAAAAAAGGCAACTCTGATTCTCCACCACACCCCGACACACACACACACACACACACACACACACAAACACACACCCCACCCCACACACACCCCCACCCACACACACCCCATCCCCCCACACCACCACGCCCCCCTACACACAGAGACACACAACCACACACCCCACCACACACACTCTACCACCACCACCCACACCCAGAGAGAAGACACACACAGACATACACACACACCACACACACACACACACACACACACACACACACACACACACACACGTTTGCATTCTGATATACAATGCAGGTAAATTCCTGTTATTTTCCACTCAGTTGGAAGGTTCTCCCTGGTGACTGAAGCAAATAACTAGTTCTTTGAAAATGAATATTTATCCCACAGCCCTTACTTGGAATCTATAAAGGATGCGTGTGAATGAATACTCCCCAGAAAGCGGGGTGTCCTTATATCTTACATAGCTTCTCAGAAATTTTGATGTCTACAATACAAAATTTCTCATGGTTTAAACACCTGACTAAAATATCATTGTAGAGACCTTGGAAACAGGCTAGAATCTAGGAGCTTGAGGATACCTACTCCCCATCCCACCCCACCCCCCACCCGCAACATTTTGACAACAACATCACCCACTGAAATCATTCTTCGAAATTTTCCACCATGATTTTTTTATCTTTCCCAGGAAGTTATTCTAATAGTATCCACATATGTGCTTGAAAAATCTTTGAATAATAACCTCACAAATTTCTTTCTTTTGGATTGATTATACTTATAGTAATTATCAGTATATAATTAATTCGTATGAATAAATCCACATTTTTCTTTTGTCAGTGATGTGGATGACACCCAAGACTTCATGCCTGATTGACAAGCTACACTCCCCTTGTATCTTATCTCCTTTGCCAGGTCAATCGGAATTCTTTGTGCATGCAGTCTAGAATGTTCTTAGCCCTGAGACAAAGTACCACAGCAGTTGTTCTCAGGGTCAGGTTCACAGCCTTATAGAGATCCCAGGGACACTTGCGCTCAAAAGTTAGCTTACTCTCATAATAACAATGTTGTTTTCCTTTTCATGCTCATTAACTCATGATTGTATGAAGGAATTTTCCAGAGGCTTATGTCATGTGATGATGTCACAGGTCTACTGGTCAGTGGAACATGGGCTCGTATATCTTTGTCTTAAAATTTTTTTCCATTTTACTTTCTAATTCAGTAACCAGAAAAGCATAACTAGTATAAAAATTGTTTTAAGACTTAAAGGGACCCTGACACCACATTCTTTGAGAGCTGAAGTCTCACTGGGGTTCTGGGGGAGGGTGCCAGGGCAGGAGGCACCAACTTCTGGAAAAGAGAGGAAGAAGTGAGAGGCAAATGGCAGGTGGCAAACAACAACAAGTGAACAAACAAACAAACACTTTGTACGGCATCGGTCAGTCGGAAAGAGAACGTACACAGAATGAGGAGCAAGACGGGGTCCCTCTCAGTCACAGGATGAGCTACATTCTGCCACTCTCCACGTCACAGCTGGCCTCTGCCTGTCAGGCGATAACATTTCCCTTAACCTCCAAACTCCCAGAGGAAACACCCATCCTGCCAGCTCCCAGGAGCGTGCAACACTTGGCTCGTGTTTAGAAAAATTAAGTTTTGGCTCCATCAGAAGACACAGGGGTTCTATTTTAATTCTTTCATCAATTCATTTGTTTTAGGTACAGTAGCTGTCTGCAGGCTAGTACCTATCATTTGATTCCAAATACTTAGCAAACCTTTTAGAAAACATACATGGAATATGAACTGCAAAAAAAAAAAAAAAAAAAAAAAAAAAATCACAGTCCAACCTGAAGAAGAGAGGAAGAATCCGGCAACTGCAAAACAGGTTTATTTCCCTGAAATCCAGTAATTCATTGGAGCTCCCTGAAGGAGGGCAGCCGCTACACTGTTCGCATCCTCAGAAGTGGGCTAGTGCTTAAAGCAAAGCTGGCTACTGTGGCTACATCAAGCAGGAAGTCATTTTTCCTCTCCCTATTTTTTTTTCTTTCAAAGTGTACACAAGGTCAGAAAAACAGACTAAAGCAGATGTCTCGACAGCACAAGACACCACACCAAACTGGAACTCCCCAGAGATGGGCTTCAGCACTGGTCCGAATGGGCAGGTGCTTGATGCCCACAAGCCAAACCGATGCAAGCAGACCGAAATGGAAACTCTTCCAAACAAAAGCAACTTTCTCCAAAACTAGACAGGCACTTACTCCCTCTAGGCAAGTGCTCTACCACAGAACCACACCCTCACCCTGTGTAACTTTTTCCCTTATGTTTTTTTTGGTTTAGTGGCACTAACTTTCCAAGTAGTCTCGTCTATACAGCCAGACTAGTCATATAGAGTGATTAGGAGGAAAAGCCAGCTCCAACTCCCTTGCTCAGTTCCCTCTGTGGACAAACAATAGTCACCGGGTTGGAATAAACCTGAATGTTTTCTAGCCCAAACCCTTGTGGCTTTCCTGGGAGAAAAGCATCAGTGAGTCTCAGGTCTCCACAACCCCCTGCCCCCATCCTGAATGCTCAGGATCTCGCCTTGGGTTCCGGTGAGTCTCTGCCCCAAGCCCCAAGGTGGCAGTCTACACCCCTCTTGTCCCCCCTCACCACCCCGTCTGAGAAATGGCAGTC